GAAGTTAGTTGGTAAAGATTGAGGGAAGCAAAACAGTCTAAACATGTATCTGGTTCTACAGCTGTTTCTAAGGTTCCTGAGTTTAGAGATAATTCGGTGCCAGTTGAGGGCAGGTCTTGGTGAATTTTGTCTCTAATAGCTAGAATTTTATCATTAAAGAAGCTCAAGAAGTCGTAACTACTGAGAGCTATGGGAATACTTGGCTCAATAGAGCCTTCACACAGCTCCAGTGATCTGTTGAAGATCTGTGTGAAGATGGGGGCCACTTAATATACTGTCTGTACTTTGGGAGTTCGTGGCTGAGGGTTGATCATCAACCAGTCTGGATGGTTTTTCTCCACGTTAGTTATCCACCTCCCCTTGCTTTTTCCAAAAGCTCATTTCGGTGCGGATGAGATTAAATCCCCGTAGGTAAAGTCCGCTATCTGGGATGTGCTCGGTGAGCCAGAGGGCGGCAGATCTGCAGAAGTCAGGGTTAGTTCTGTTGAGGAGCAGCAGTTTGTCCATTTTGTTGGCAAGAGAGCGGACATTCGCCAGGTGAATCAAAGGGAGCGCAGTGCATAAACCCTGCTGTTTCAGTTGAAAGCCTAGTTCACACTACACGATTTTTAGCCTGATTTGCCGCTCGGTGAGCTCAGCAACCGTCAGGCTATGATCGGGAGAAAATCAGGGGTTGATCGGCGGTCGGCAGTCGTTATGTGTGAACTACTCAACAACGCATCAAAACGGCTCCCTGACACATCACTGCCACATCGCTGACGTCTGCCAGATATCTAGCATGCCAAATATCTAGCGGAGTCGGCCGACTCCACATCCACATCCAGCCAATGAGAGCAGGCAGCTACTTTTTCACTGCAACACTTTTTACTCCCCTCCAGCTCAGACAATCCCTGCTACCTGTGTGTGCTAATCCTTTCTTTCACTCATATTCTTTGTCTTTATAATTGGTATCTTTATAATAACGTCATTTCCCGTTTCACATTTCACGTGTGTTTTCTTGACAAAACATGGGTTTGGAGACCAGAGGCGGCCATCTGCGGTGCCATCTTGGTAAAAGCTCGGCGTGCACGAACGGGCTCATGCTGTTTCAGGTGTCAGATATACATGTGTGTATGTAAAGTACATATATAGTTCACCCCAACCGGTCGAGGCAGATGGCCGCCCACCCTGAGCCATGGTTCTGCTCGAGGTTTCTGCCTCTTAAAAGGAAGTTTTTCCTTGCCTCTGTCGCCTAGTGCTTGCTCTTGGTGGGAACTGTTGGGCTTCTGTAAATATCATCACAGAGTACGGTCTAGACCTGCTCTTTTATGAAAAGCGCTCTGAGATAACTGTTGTTGTGATTTGGCGCTATATAAATAAAATTGAATTGAATTGAATTGAATATATATATATAATGTGTATTATGCATATCTGTGTATGTATAATATGTGTATTGTTTATATTTATATATAAACGGTACACAGATGAGTATGATGAAGGCTCGGCATACACACATAGGCTTGTGCTGTGTCAGGTGTCATTAGGTGGTTTTCAAAGTGTCTCATTTGAATGAATGAATCATGGAAAATCAGATAAAATCTGGTTCATCTGCATTTTAATGTTTTGTCATTTCATCACTGAAACTTATATATTTATTGATCATGTAGTATGGGTTTTATAAATATGGATGTGTTTTATATCGACAGAATGATACTTAATGATTTAACTGATTATTTCTACATAAAACTTTAATTTAAAAATGTTGTTTCTTTCAGACATTCAGTGAGCTGAAAAACACAAACCTCTACAATCATCCAGGATGTTTATTTATCGTGCAACACACTGAAATCTGACTACTTCGATCATAAACTCATTTTAATGGCTTGTTTCAGGTAAAATGCAGTCATTAGTTTTCAAACTGAATATCTAACTGAACTGGCGAGCTGGTGAAATCTGGCTGTTAGAAACTCTTCTCAGCACTTTGACTTAAAAGAAAGGTACTTAAAAGCTGTTCTGTCTCAGAAGAGCCACGAGGTCTTCTTACTGATCATCATCAGAGTGTTTAATCAGGAGTCACACAGTTTTATTCAAAATCAATTTCAAATGGATCAGAAATGTGCAGATTTGCCTTTTAAGTACAAACTCTGAGGTCAAAGGTTTAAATAGTTTCTGAAGTTAAGACTTAACTTTTCAACAGAGTAGCTGTAACATCTTCCAAAAGATTCAAATATTTTATGCACTCTGACATGAGCATCATTTGTTTTGGTACTATAATATATTACATTATAGTACTGGTGTACACAGGAAGTTAATGGAAATGTAATCAATATATATAAACATTATAGAGCTATGCAAAAAACAATATCTTGATTTTTCTGTTTCTACATAATATTCCCCAGGAAAAAGTGCAATAATTTCATTTAGCATCTTGGATAGCTAGTTAGCTGGTTAGCTGCAGCTTAAAAACTAACCTGGGCAGTTAGATTGTGGTGTCTTCAACATTGATCACAGATGCTGATATATATAAATACTTCAGAGAGTAAGTGTGTGTGTGTGTGTTATGAAATGGCTGCATGCTGGCTGCATGCTGGCTGCACGCTGGCAGCCCACTGAGCGGCTAGGTGAGACTTTCAATTTTCTGAATTTTCTGGGTCACATTTCGGCCCGTAGGCGCTGCGGTAACAAAGAAAAGGAGGTGAGTCACATCTCAAAATTCCCTTTTAGGAATGAAATCAATCATAAGTGCATGAAAGTGAAAATGACCAGGATTCTCAGTCTGGTATCACTGTGTTGTTGTTGAGCTTGTTGGAGCTCCAGCACGTCCTGCGGGGCCCTGAACGCTCCGTCCAGAAGCTAAAGCACGATCACCTCGTTCATCAGTGTACGCAGCTGGCTCAGCTGTCCTCATTTTAAGATCTTATTTTTAAGGCTCTCCATGACCAGGCTCCTGATTATATTTTAGAACTCCTTCTCAGCCTTTGTGTAGTTTGAGGTCTCCTGTCTCCCTGAGTCCTGACTAAGGGCTTTGCTGTCAGGGCCCCGAGGCTCTGGAACCACCTGTCAGAGTCAGTGTCTTCTTTTAAGTCTCTTTTAAAAACCTCATTTTATCTGAGCCGCCTGTTTAGGGTTTATCTTTTTATCTCCTCTTATATTGTGTTATCTCATTTTACCCTCTTGCATTCTATCATCCATCGTGTGTGTCTGTTGTGAAGCACTAGTGCTCTATAAATAAAGTTTATTATGTGGCCTGCAGTACGTATGGAGTTTCAAACAGGTGGTAACAGGTGGTGGTCAGTGTTGGGCAAGTTACTCAGAAATTGTAATATATTACTAGTTACTTATTACTCCTTAAAAAAGTAACATTTTTACTTTACTTATTACTGGGTGATAAAAGTAACTCGTTACCTTACTATATTACTTTCCAGTGTTTCCCGCAGAATGACAGTGGGTGGGGGGTTATTCTAGCTTTGGGCAGGTTTTTGCAGCGGTGTTCAGGAGAGAGAGAAAGAGGGAGCGAGCGAGGAGTTGCTGCACGAATATATGCTCCTCAATAAAAAATGATTTTAAAAAAAACAGAAAATCAATATGTGGCGGTCAGCGTTGATAATTATCCAAATCATAGGCTAAGTATGGGAAACACTGCTTTCACTACCACCCCCTTCACCCCCAAACACGGCAGTCTCTCCCGACTTTTGAACTAATACCATATTCCACCGCAGCAAGGAGTGTGGTTGTTACAAAGCATATAGCCCAGGCCTAACGTTTCTTAACGCCACCGGCTGAAATAAAAGAATAAAGCAAGTAAATCCCGACTTTTAAACAGCTGTTTTTCTGCACATGCAGCCTGTTTATAAGAGCAGTCTTCAGTAGTTATAAAACGTTACGTTAACGCCACTCTCTGCCGACGAGTCCAGTGTCAGTGGCAGCAGCTGCCGGAGTTTCTTTCTGGAAGTTTCACGTCGCTGTGCTGCTTCAGCAGATGCTCCAATAAATCAGATGTAGAAATGTTTGCGGTTGAAAACTTCTTGCTGGTCGCTCAGAGTTTACAATAGACGACAATGTTCTTTGCATCTTAGACTGTGACACAATAATGGCAGCAGCTACTTGTGCCGCTGAGCTGCCGCACAGTCGTGGATTTACGTCAAGGATGGTGCGTTCAGTAACGAGTAACGCAGCGTTACTTGCCTTAGTAACTAGTAATAATATTACCGTGTTAGAAAATTAGTTACACTACTAGTTACTGGGAAAAGTAATAGCCTACTGCCTAACACTGGTGGTGATACAGGTGTGACTGTCCTCTGACCTCTTGGTATTGTTCAGGTGTCCTCCACACTGCGTTTCGTGCGCCGTGCGTCCAGCAGCTGATAATAAAGCTGCAGGAACTTCAGGAGGTCAGCGATCCTGGTCTCGCTGTGCAGCTCTGCCCCCTGCAGTGACCTCTGCTAGCTCACTCCTGAACCCTGCAGGGTTGCTATTACCAGATAAGCAGGATCAACATGGCCTCCTCCTCCTCCTCAGTAGCAGTCTCACATGCTGGTGGGACTGTGTAGTGAAGACGTTGGATTAAGTTTAAATGAAGAACTCTTTCAGCAACAATTAATTGACATTGATCTAACTTTTAATGAGGACGCAGAGAGCCAATCAGAATTGGCATTTCAACTCTTCACATAACAGCAACCTGAGTTTGTGCATCCGGTGCACCTTTGTTAGAAAAAGACAGAGTCCGTCTGTCAGATTCAAAGTACTTTACATGAGACATCAGAGGCTTTAGGACATGATCTAATGGAAACTAAGACACGTGATTTAAAGACAGCAACTGTTTTGTGAGATAAGAAGATCAATATCATTCTCATGTCTGTGTTTGAGTATTTACGGATGTGGTCACCACACATCATATTTACCATGTTCACCATCACAGTTAGCAGGTTAGCGTGCTAACATTGGGTAATTAACAGTAAAACCAGCTTCTAATCTGGATGTTCTGTGTGGAGCTGTGCAGCTTTTGGGGCCCTGATGAGACCTGGACTACCTGTCCACGTCCTCACCTGGTTCTTCCTCTCAGACACACTGTGTGCAGCCAAACAATCATCTGATCATAAATAAAGTATTTCTGAGGTAAAGAAATGTGAGAGGAGGCTGGGGAGAGTTTGATAACAGTATATTAATACACCACATTAGGCCTGGTGTTACGTCCACCTGGTTCTCTCTCTCCAATGCTCTGACCCTGACAGCACCACATGGGGCAGCACAGTGCTTCCTCATTTATCATCAGAATGTTTCTTTTTATTTTGTAGAATTTGAAAAACAAACAGGATGTAAACCAAGTCAGTAGATTTTTAATAGAAATAGGCTATTTCCTAACTATATAAAGACAGAGCATGCATGGGGGCTCTGTGGGAGGGGGAGGGGCCGCAGAGAGGCTGGGGTCGCCCCTGTCCACTCAGACGGGATTAAATCAGCAGCAGCCTCGTCTGTTCGGACTCCTGGATGAAACCTGCCCGACACCAGCCCCCCCGCTCCGGCTCCACCTGCCAGACTCCGCTCATGGAGGACTCTGCAGCTGCAGTCTAATCCCGCAGACCCGCCTGTCTGAGCTAAGCCCTGTCGCGGACAGAATGAGGACCGGTCTTGCTGTTGTCCCGAAGCCCGAACCCGCCGGCTCGGATCCCCGGGGCCTCGGAGGAGAGCAGGTTTATGTGAGCTGGAGCTGCTGAAGGATTTCACCGACATGCCTGGAACAAAGCGAGCGGAAGTGCGGCGGCGGATCGACAGGGTCCGCAGGGCGTCTGCCGGGGTCTGCCAGTTGAGCTCATGATGCTGTAGACCAGTAGCCTACCGGCCTGGAGAGAGGAGCTGCCGATGCACAGCAAACCCTGTGGATGGTGAAGAAGCATCGGGACCGGGACCTTGTGTGGAATACACGGAGACATGACATGCACGAGGAAAAAGAGGAAACGCTTCTTTAAAAGCTGCGTTTTTTAAAGGGATTCCGCAACAGGCTTTCACAAAGACCCGGACCGCAGCGGTCCGTGGCAGCGGCAGGTGCCGCCGTCTCTCTTTGTACCAGTTGTTTTTGTGGGGCAGAGCCAGGTGAACCTGGACCCGTGTTTCATGTAGACCGCAGCAGACCGTGAGGAGGACCAGCAGCCCGCTGCAGGTAAGCAGCACCATTTTGTTTTACCTACAGGTCCGGATCTGCAACATGTCCCGCTGCCTGCCTCTGCATGTCATGAGTCTAACGGGCCTCCTCCTGCAGGCCCGGACCGGATTTTGTCTGCCTCTGCAGGCGGGTCAGGTGTGGGGGTCCTGGTGCGTGATGTAGTGGTCAGGGTGGTGATGATTGATACCCTGCAGGGCCTCGGCTCTGGGACGGACGGGGTTCATGTCATGTGGTGTAATATGGCCTGAGAGGACATGGGCTGTGAGAAGCATTTAATGCCGGACTGCAGTCCTCATCAGACCTGTAAGGCTCCTGTGTGAGGAGGCCTGATGCTGGGCCGCTGTCAGACCGGCTCAGTCTGCATCTGTCGCCTCCTCCCACCGACACCGAGCCAGAGGGATCGGGCTGCTGTTGCTACCCAGTTCCTGACAGTGACTCTGCCCTCAGCCGCCAACCAACTGCCAGCTCCACCAGGCCCCTCCTTTCAGACTCCCAGCCCCCCTCTCAGGTCCCCGGCTCCCCAAAATGACCCCAGGAACAGTGGATTCAGTCCTAACTGGTCTAACTCTTCGATCCTGATGGTCAACATGTTTCCACATAAAATTTTCTTTTTCAAATGAAATGTCCTCAAACAGCTGATCTCAAAGTCACACATAATTCAGTTATTCATCAGAGGCTTTTATTCTGAAAATCTTTGCTTCTATCTCTTTTCTCTGCAGGCAGGAAGGTTTCAAGTTGAGCTAAATGCTAACATGCTAACATGATGCTGACGTACTGCAGCTAATGTTTGTCTGACATATTAGCAGTAAATGATCCAGTTATTCCTGACAGCATCTCTGGATTACAGAGTCTTCATCGTCTGATCGAAGGTGTCATTGAGCTGGAGATGTCTAGAGGTACACCATACAAAGGTGAAAGGAATGCTTCAAATGTTTTATAAGAGAAAAGGTTTTAATAAAGAGGAATAAGCTGAGTTTAAACGTGGCAGCGCAGGTCACTTCTGATTTCAGCCCACACCACATGGACGTATACTGAGGGTTCCCCGCAGTGAATGTGTTGACATTCAGTATCCAGACTAAAACAGTGAATCCAAACACCTAAAACGGAGAAGTCTGAAACGTTTTCACTCTGTTTCACTTTGTACTCCCGTGTTACTTTCAGGAACAGTTCCACCTTGTTGTTAAACCATGCAAAGAAATCTCTGCTGTCTGTAAGACATTCAAGTTAGTTTACCTTGGAGATGCAAGTGGGTTATCTCTACTTAAAGACCGCCTTTGTTTCAACTCACAAATTAAAGTTGATTTAACTCCAGTGTTTTAGTTGTCTCAACGTTGTTGTTTTTAGTTGACTGAACTTTTTATAACTTGTTTCAACTTCATTCTCTGAGTTAAAACAACTAATTATTTTACTTTATCAATGCAAGAAAACTTAACTCTTAACAAGTCTATCTGACACACATTAATGCATTATTCAACATTAACTACTTTCCATTTCAACTTTAGAGGATTTAAATTCCTAAACTGTTTCAGCTTACATTTATAAACAAGAAAGAACAAGTGCTACCCTAAGTGCCTGTCTTCCCACCAGTAGCACTAGTTCTTTCTTGTTTACCACAAGTGTCTATATTTTAGTTGAAATTATCTGCAATATATAATAAGTCGGGAGGAGCGAGTACACCACTATCTGGATCTGTACTCGGAACAGACAGGGCATAGCCTGGATGTGGGACTAACTGGAAGTTATTTATTTAAGCCTAAAATTGGTACGGGTTAATCAGAAGTATTTATTATTAAAATAAGGAAAAGTCAATGGCATTGGAGTCCGTATATTAAAGAACTGTGCTGAATAGCTGGCAGACATTTTTGGTTTTATTTTCAAAATGTCTTTACATCTCCACACAGTTCCTTGCCTTTGGACAGTCTCAACTATTGTTCCCGTGCCTAATAATAAGGCTCCAGAGTCTATTAATGACTTTAGGCCTGTGGCGCTCTCGTCCCTCACTATGAAGATGTTAGAGAAGATCATGAAGGACAAACTTTTGAACTCTGTCCAGGATCTACTAGACCCGCTTCAATTCACCTACAGACCAAACCGGGGAATGGAAGATGTAGCATGTACTCTTTTTATCTTGATCTATACCCATCTTGAGAGTGCAAAGAGCTTTGTACGGCTGCTTTTTATTGACTTTTCTTCAGCTTTTAATTGCATCCAACCACATATTTTAGCAGGGATTTTAAAGAGTACTTTTAATGTCGATCCTAGTCTTATCTGTTGGTTGATGAGCTTTTTAACTAACCGGTCTCAACGTGTGAGAGTGAATAGCATTTTATACGATGTCCACTTTTCCTCCACTGGTTCCCCCCAGGTCTGCGTCCTCGCTGCGATTTTATTTATTTTATATACAAACGCATGCCAAAGCCAGCACACCAGGCGTCATATCATTAAGTTTGCTGACGACTCTAATAGTGTCGCTGTTGACGCACAATGACCCTAAGCATGGCGCTATTTTAAATGATTTTACAGAGTGGTGTAAGTCATCTTTTATTAACATTAACATGGCAAAAACTAAAGAAATGCTGATCGATTTTAGAAAGAACCCCCCCACCCTCTCTTCTACCTTCATTAATGATCAAGCTATCGAAGTGGTGAAGCAATACAAATACCTTGGTATTATAATCGATGACAAACTCAAATTTGAGCCACAAGTTGACGCTGTCTGTAAAAAATCACATCAACGCATGTTTTTTTATCGTAAACTTTGCAATTTTAATGTCTTTTAATGTGCTTATGTTTTATTGTTGTTTTATTGAAACTATTTTGTCTTTTGCCCTTGGGAGCTGGTTTGGTTCCCTTACTCTTAAAAACACAAACAGGCTGCAATATATAGTTAAGGTGTGTGGCAAAATTTCCCACAACCCTCTGACTGACTTAAATTCTGTATATGAGACAAGGACCCTCAAGAAAGCACAATCAGTCCTGGCTGACCCAAGTCACCCCTTGAACAGCTGCTTCATTTTGTAGCCATGTGGCCACAGATTCAATCTGCCTAAATGCAGGACAAACAGACACAAAAACTCTTTTGTCCCTGCTGCTATAGGCTTTTTTAATAATTCAATGTGAGATGTGGACTTCTGTGTAGTATGTATTTATTTTTGTTTCTTACTGAGTTTGGCTTGTTTTGTATAACCTTATTTGTGTTAGATGCTGCTGCAAAACGAATCCGCCCCCAGGGATAATAAAGACTCCTTGAACCTTGAACCTCACCTTCATCAGGTTTACGGAACAACTGAAAGTGGGCACGGTCGTTCCAGTTGGTACAAGTGGTTGTGTGGCGATGAGTCACTGATGGGTTGTGCTTAGAACAAACATGATTTCAGGGGTTTTCTTTATTATCACCATTGTTGAAATGTCTTCACTTTGATTGGCATCAGTTTGTTTTTTCTTTTATCTTGTTACCGCTGATCTGATCTGGTGTGTTTCTGTTCTACCCAGATGAGAGACGGTCCACATTTAACAGAGACACATCCAGCCTCATGTTTCTTTGTCTTCTGTGGTTGTTTGCAGGCTCCCGGAGAGTATCAGGAGGTGAGACGACACATTACACCAAAGGGACTCAGCTCGAAATGGAGCGATGTGGATTGGGGTGGTCCTGTTCCTTGTGAACTGCAGAAAGAAGGAAGCAACCACGAGGACGAAGGAACTACTAGCAGACGGAGGAGGCGGCGGAGGAGTGGTGGCTTTGCTGTCTGAAAAAAAGGTGGTTTGGGTGGGGGTGCATTCGGGATGGCGAATGGAAATGAGAGCATCGAAGGGCCTGCTGGGCCCGTGGCAGCGGTGGTGGCTACTGCAGAAGGACTGATAGCAGAGAGCCCTTCCTCGGCTGTCTCTACATATATCAAACTGGTGCTGCTGGGGCTGATCATCTGCATCAGCCTGGTGGGCAACCTGGTGGTGTCTCTGCTCGTACTGCGGGACCGGGCCCTTCACAAGGCACCTTACTACTTCCTGCTGGACCTGTGCCTGGCAGACACCATTCGCTCAGCCATCTGCTTCCCTTTTGTGCTGGTGTCCATAAAGAACGGCTCCGCCTGGACCTACAGCGTGCTGAGCTGCAAGGTGGTGGCCTTCATGGCGGTGCTGTTCTGCTTCCACGCCGCCTTCATGCTGTTCTGCATCAGTGTAACACGCTACATGGCCATTGCACACCACCGCTTTTACTCAAAGCGCATGACGTTCTGGACGTGTGTGGCAGTGGTGTGCATGGTGTGGACACTGTCTGTGGCAATGGCTTTCCCGCCGGTTTTTGACGTGGGCACCTACAAATTCATCCGTGAGGAGGACCAGTGCATCTTTGAGCATCGCTACTTCAAGGCTAACGATACGCTGGGCTTCATGCTAATGCTAGCTGTGCTCATTCTAGCCACACATGTTGTCTACATGAAACTACTCCTGTTTGAGTACAAGCACCGCAAGATGAAGCCAGTCCAGATGGTGCCGGCCATCAGTCAGAACTGGACCTTCCACGGGCCGGGAGCTACAGGCCAAGCGGCAGCAAACTGGATTGCGGGCTTTGGCAGGGGCCCAATGCCGCCCACTCTGCTGGGAATCCGGCAGAACTTGCACAACCAGAACCGGCGCCTGTTGGGCATGGAGGAGTTTAAAGCGGAGAAGCAGCTTGGCAGGATGTTCTACGTGATCACCCTGCTGTTCCTGGTGCTCTGGTCTCCCTACATAGTGGCTTGCTATTGGAGGGTGTTTGTCAAGGCTTGCACAATACCACACCGGTACCTCTCCACCACCGTGTGGATGAGCTTTGCCCAAGCCGGGGTCAACCCTATTGTCTGTTTCTTCCTTAACAAAGACTTGAAGAAAGGGCTCCTTTCCCACCTACCAGCCTGCTGCAGGACTAAACCTCATCTGCCACGAGAGCCTTATTGTGTCATGTAAACAGAGACGATGATCTGAACGTGGAGAACAACCAAGAGGCAGCCAACAGATCTGTTGTAGGAGTGTTTGAGTTATTGTGGCATTTGATTCAATGCAAGCTACTAGCTAGTAGCAGCGGGTGGAAACTAGTGAGTGTGAAGGTAAAAACACTGGAATGGTAAGCATGTATTTCCACCTACCAACCCGTTTTCACTCAAAACAACAGCATACATGGAGTCAGACCTTGACTTAACTAACAAGAGGAAAATACTTTAATAGCAAGTAGTAATGCAGTCGTTGTGGAAACCAAGCCAGCAACAAATTACATAAGCTGCGTCATAAAGACCATCAGAGTGGCCGATTAGAAAAGTCTAAAACAAAGGATGTGTGAGTTGGTTTGGTGATAAAAAGATTCCTGAGGAGGACAAAGAGCAACTTTTCTTGTTTAAACCTACATTTTACTATTGGGGGGGGTTAACCCATTTTGATTTTTAGTACTTTATTTAAAAAATATAGTTCTACGCAATCCAAAGACTCCTTGTTCAGTTATCTCAAAGTTTAACAACTGTCCAGTTTCAAAGTCCGGAATAGATTAAAATTATAAAACCTTCTGGAAATGATTTAGGAATCAAAACTGTTTTCTTGAAGTCTGTAGAGGAAACAAAGGTTTGTGAATATCACACTCGGGCCAGTGAGATGGTTTAATCTGACCTAAATGAAATAGAAATGCTCCTCGCTGGATGAGGAACATTGTGTCTGAAGCATACACATTAGTGGACAGGACAACAACATGGGCTACGCACCAGAGTGGATTTCCACTCCCGTCCCATCCCGCTCCCACAAAAATAATCCTGTCCCGTCCCAATCCCAGAACAATGACTCCCCTCCCATCCTGTTCCTGAAAAAGTCAGAAAATAGCGTGTATTCATACTAGAACTGCATGTTTCTATATAAAAAACAGATGATTCCTGTTGATTTTTCTTCCTGTCCCCTCCCACTCCTGCAATCAATAATGAAACTGAGTCTCGTCCCACAGGAATCCTGAAACAATCTCCAGCTCTGCTCAGCGTTTCAGATTGACGGTCCTGAAATTCTACTGCTGACACACCTGTGTGCTTTTAATTTAAAGATCCGCTCCGTTAACGGCAAGCAGGCCATCTTGTAATGGTCTCAACACAGTGTCCAGTTGCAGAGATCTCCAATCACTCGGGTAAAATGCTGAGTTAGAAATCCCTTTCCTCGACTACCTAGTGCGATTAATGTACTTTAGTGTCTGAGGTCTGAAATGTGTGCACAATGTAATGCCCTCAAACATTCCCAGAGTGCAACAAAACATGCGCCCAGTTTATTACCACCAGAACAGAAGCATGAATAGTAAAAGCAGTTTGTTGAGTAGTTTAAACTTCAGCAGGGCCACTGTAAAGACAGACTGATGGTGTCCTCTGTCTTGGACTCATCGTATGTGATTCAGTTAATTCTGTCTGAAATCTCAGTCGACTCAGAGTAAGTATGAAGTGTTCATTTTGTACAACTGAGAGAATCAAATCTGGATTATTATTATTATGAAAACTGCTGATTAACATGTCAAAGTAAAACAATATCTGAAGTATCTGAAGAACACAACAGACGGGGCAAAGTCTCCACAGGACACATTTATTCATTCTGTTAGTCAGCAAACAAAACCAAACTTCCATCTGTGCCCCTGACGAAACCCTGAAGCACGTAGCCTCAGTGGTGCAGCAGAAAACGTACAGTGAGGAATTGGTTTCAGGCTTTGAACCTAGGGATTAAAACCTCATTAGTTTTTCCTGAGGACAAATCACGTCAAACACAAGTGGTGGCTGAATTTACAAAGAAATAAAACCCAAGTTATAATAAAGTGAAATGATCCTTTACCCTTTGCCTCTGGCTGGTCAGGAAGGGTAGCTCCAGCAGGTAGCAGCCAAGCTAAACAAAACTAGGAATAAAATACAGTTAAACCAAGGTTTTAAACAGAAATCAGTTCCAACACGCTTGTTTACAGACGTTCACCAAAGTTATTTTGAGTAGTTGTAATAATTCCATTTAAATGAATGGAGTCTGGTGTGCAAGTTAAATCTGTGAAACAACTTTACTGCTAAAGAAAGGGTTTGTAGAGGGACAACTGTATGTAACTGCTGACGGTATCCGGCTCGCCACTTTTGCTCAAACAGCCGACATCCAGTGAGATGTGACATTAACAAAGCTCAGGCCACACTGTCTCTCCAGCAGCAGAACACTAAATACCGTGTGCAGCTTTACCCAAACGGAAGGCCATTTCAGGACTGTTCAAATCAAAATTAGGAGGTACTAAATCAAAATACCAACTTTTGAAAATGATGTCAAACTTTTTTCTTTTTAGGCCAAAATAATGAGATTAAGTAAAAAAAAGTGATCAGTCATGAGATTTGTGAGGAAATTTAAAAAACGTCATTTGATTATGGTAATGAGGTAAACACTGAAACTAGGTCAAGATATCTGGCATCAAAATCTTTTACAAACCCTAAAGTTTCCTTTAAAGAAGCTCGTAACATGAATCTGGAGTCACAGTTAGCCTATCATAAATCAGCATGGTACAGCAAAGACTGGGAGACATGATATTTAAACCCTCATCACCGGGGGTGTGAGGGTAAAGAAGGGTTGAGGGTAGTGAGATTGAGAGGGTACTGAGGGTGCCGGGGGTGCATCAGAAGGCTCATCTGCTTTATTTTGCATAAATCTAAATAAATGGGTCAACTGTGTGTACAAACAAAGTGTACCTTGAAGTTTAGGTGGAAGTATAGGACAAAGATTGTAATCTGTTGGTGAATGTCTGAAAACATGGCACAGTCCTTAAGCTTGGGGACAAATAAAGTGTATTTGGGGGCTTGAGGTGCCCCGTTGTCTCTGCCGTGGCACACCTGAAACACCCGACAACAGCTTGCCACAGAGATTCGCTAATGTGTTTTTATTTTCAGAATTATGGCCTTACTCCATAAAAACATCAAACCAATGCAACAAAGATCAGACAAATGGGTCCCTTCTGTATTCAGGAGGAAACAGAACACTGTGTACACTACTGACATTTCCCATCAGACCCCGGAGGACCTGTGGTGGTGGTGGGCCCACAATGGGAAACATTTAGACTGAGGATCTGATGAACAGCTCTGGATGTTTGCTTTTCTCCTCAGACATCAACCTGAGAAGTAAGGAAAAATGACTTTGTCTTTTTCTTTCTTTTCTCTTTCTGAGACGGAGCCAGAGAAAAGATGCTGGACAGTGCTTTTTTAGTTGCCTCAGGCTGATTCTGTTTTTGTAAATTTACTGTGACCTCTGTACTATTAGTGTGAATTATATCGACAGCAAACCAACTCTGAAATGCAACGGAAGAGTTCCTGATCATAGTATTTTTACTGTGTGTGTGTGTGTGTGTGTGTGTGTGTTCTATTGGCAGGTATGAGTGTGTCTTGATGGTTAGATGGCGAGAAAGAAAACTGACCAGATACATTTTGCATTTTCAAGACGTCATTCCTGCAAATGCTTCCTCTGTATTTATTTTCCTGATGCAAAGATCTGAATGTGTTTTCAAAGAAATGAAGTTTACTCAAAGTCCCTCTTATGAAACATGTAACAGATGAGTGTTAATTGGAGCAGAATTTTTTGTACATATTTAGAGGTAAAGAAGAGCATTCAGACACATGTTGCTGCGTACGTTGGCCTGGATCTGAAGGTTTCATTGAATTAACACATAAAAAAACGAAGTACAGCAAGAACAGTACATGAAAAAAGGCTGGCATCAGATTGCCAAATGATCCGCTTGGGTCTTCCCCATCATTCCTGTCGGTAATAATAACTGAGATCTGTGAATGCCTCAATCTGACAGGACAGGTGGGAGACAAACCAACAGGTGACTTACCTGTTCAGTGAGCGATTATTTAGATCATCTGGATGAACTGCTGCTTTGTTTCCTGGCTGCTCATGTTTATTCCCCTCAGACTTTCCTTGTAATGACGTTCACAGATCTAAGAAGTGACCAACAGAAGTGGTGGCTGAAATTACAAAGAAATAATAAAGTGAAATGATCCTTTACCCTTTGCCTCTGGCTAGTCAGGGAGGGTAGCTCCAGCAGGTAGAAGCCAAGCTAAACAAAACTAGGAATAAAATACAGTTAAACCAAGGTTTTAAATAGAAATCAGTTCCAAAGCGCTCGTTTACAGACGTTCACCAAAGTTATTTTGAGTAGTTGTAATAATTCCATTTAAATGAATGGAGTCTGGTGTGCAAGTGTTTGCTGCTGTGACCGGGGCCCATTCAGTAAATGAGCCCGATACCAGTGTGACGAGTGAATGTCCAGACCAGTGTGTGGTGGTTCTGCTGGGTCACTGTCCAGCAGGCACAACAGCACAGATCACTACGGCTTCACACAGTAATGATGTTCTGAGGGGGAAACTCAAAGCAGTGTCTTACAGAGGGAATCTTTATTTTAAATGTCAAAGGTTCAAAGAAAAGTCTCATCCTGGTGCATCCTGAAGTTTTCAAAAAGAAAGAACACCAAAATTCTCTGAAGGATGTGAAAGAAATCTGTTCTGACCCCGACCATCCAGCCAGACGCTGCGGTTTCCGTTTGTTCTGAATTATTAAAAAGTGGTTGAGCTTTTACGCATGTCTCTGGCGATTTATGATTTCTGTTGTCGGTTTTGTAACGAAAATAAATTTCATTTGAAATGATGAGAACATTATTATTTTCAATACCTGCACACACATGTCTAAGAGAATGCTCTGAACAGGAATCTCATCTACCTCTACTGGTAAACACAATTGGTTTTATTTGTCCAGGTTCTGTCTCTGATGTTCACAGCTCTAAAGAAATCCACATCTCATTCTGTATTTACTCAAGAGGGTTTGCATTGACACTACCAGTCAGAAGTTTTAGAACTCCTACCTTGTTTGTAGTTCTTCTGTAAATCTCAGTAGTTCAGGTCCAGTGAAAAACCTTAAATGGTACCAAAGTTAAAAACAACGTTTACGTCACCAAAACAGACATTTTCACATCTAAAACAAACAATGTTCATTATTTCACTGTAGGATCAACTGATGACCAGCTGCTCCATCTTCCTTCATTAATATTATATACAGTATATATAATATAGTCCAAATAAAGCTTCTGAGGGTGGATTAACAGGCGGTTCCAAGGTGTTTACTGTAGAAATGTTTCATTTCCTGCCACTGCTAAGAATAACCAAAGAAGGTAAAGACAAAGTTTAGGTCAGAAAAACTGGGAAATAATATAAATTTAGAGATAAAAAAGTAATGACTTAATAACTTAGAGTTTTCTGCATTTCCCACAAGTATTTTATTAAGAACCTGTTGATCATTAAATGTTTCTTTCAGTCAGGGATCCAGACCTGCTCCCCCATCTCTCCACTTGGAGCTCAGGAAGTCCTGATCCTCCACAAATCCAGTAAATCCAGAGCAATCCCTGTCACCAGGTGAGGGAGACTCTGAACGCCACTCTGGCCTTGTCCAATCAGCTCTCAGAGGAGCACTGACATGACAAATCACCAAGCTGATAGGCAAAAGCACACCTGAAGTTGTGTCATGACCTCCTCCTCCTCCCTTCATCAGCCTGAGGTTACACCACATGTTTAACTATAATCTGGGGGCCAAACATGAGGGGCTGTGGAGACTCCTCATTCTCACCATGAGTTTGATTTCTTTCACCGATTCATTCACCCCTCTGCTGTTTATCATTTTTGTATCCAGCGTGTTGTTATTCTGCATCAGGTAGCTGGTTATTAGTCCTGTTTAATGTGGCAGCTGGGCTACAGCGCTCTCTGGTGGGGAAATATTTTGCATGCTTTGGATTAAAAAATAAAAAGCAGTCAACACACAACATGAACATTTAATAAAACTACAACAATGACATCACAAGTTCATCATTTATTGACACAGAGTCTGTTCTCCACGCTGAAGCACTACACAAGTTTAAACACACTGAGGACCACCAGCTGTTGGACCACCACAGGAAGTTAAAGTCACCACTACAGGGACCGTCTCGCTGCCAAGTCCTGACTTTTCTTTGTTAGAAAGCCAGAAGGAGGAGTAGTTTGCTGAGACGCTACAGATCAGCTGAGGGTCACTACCTCCCTGCAACTTGTCTACAGGTTCAGGGTCATTGCATAGTAAGCTGCTTCAGACTGTGGTGGAGGTGATCCGAGTTCCTGTTAAACACCTGGCTGTCACAGGTGATCAGCTGAGTGCAGAAGGTCCTGGAAGAGGGAAGGTCTGTGGTCTCTGTGAGATGAACTGCTGATAACTGAGCAGATTTCAGCTCACTGAGTTCAGAGAGGCCGCAGACGCCAGCAGGAGGCCGCAGTGTTAAACCCACCGAGCATCAGGAGCACGATGACCAGAGGTAAAAGAAACAAAAAGCACTACAAAGTACACATTCAACTATAAAATCTCAATTTAGAGAAAGATTAACAACCCATGTGAACTCAGATGTGTCTGCAGGGTAACACCAACTGCAGTACCAGAACCAGAGCCCAGCACCGGCACCCTGAGGGCCCGTTAGTCCTCTGCAATCATTTCATCAGATGGAAGTGCAGAGGAGCATTGTGTGTTGGTGTTCCAACTCTGAATGACCTCTGACCTCCATCACAGGTACACAGGTCTGACCTGAGGTCCGGTTACGCAGATTATTTATAAAACAGAGTCAGGTACTGCCGCTTCGCTCGTCACACTAGAGTCCAGCAGGCGAAGCAGGAAGTGGATGTTTGAGGAACCTGTTGGCGGTCTGGGCTCTCAGATCCCAGATCTGTTAACCTGCTGAGGTCTCTGGTAGAAGCGAAGGACAAACTGATGCTGTGATAAAACCCAATGATGGTGTACCAGTGATCAATACCTGTCCCACACACCAAGCACCCAAACAGCACACAGCTCCTAATCTCAGCTTCTAGTGGACACAGAGATTTAAAATGACCCGTCTGTGGTCTGCAGCTTGAAGACTTTGTCATGTTCACATATAAAAACGTGAATTTCAGAAAATAAAAAATTCATATACAAATCTGTACAATGTTCCACATGTTTACACAAACAACGCTGTTCCTGGCAGTCCCCCATCAGAACAGGTACTTTCGACACGAGTCCGATCCACACCGACACTCCACTCGAACCCTCTTCTTCGGAGAGCCGGGGAGGACAGCTAGACTAAAACTGGAGTCCATTTTGGTGCTTTCTGTGTCGACCGGATCAACTGCAAACAAACAGGAGAGAACAAGAACACATTTCCTTCGTCATGAAGATTTAAAAGGCTCACACTGTAGGTCGGGGTAGCATGCACACATGTGCTCGAGTTCAACAAGCTCAAAACTTCCTGACTGAAGTTAAAAATGTGTGAACAAGCAGGAGGAGATAAAAGTCTGACACCAGCAGCCTCTCAGTCGTTAGACGTGGATCAGCCTTTTCTGGCTTTGAAAAGTCAGATGTTGATCAAAAGACGTCAGTGTGCAAATTTCTGTAAAACAGCCTGGGCTTTTCTTTGACTCAGTCATTGCCTGTATCTGGGATAGGCCTTTAATTCCTTTCACACAAAACTCTCGCTCAGCAAAGATGGGCTCTGCTGGTAGGAATATTAGGCCTTTTTGGTCTTGCTTGTTTACCATGATGGGAAATCTGAATTGTGGAGAATCCAACCAATTTAATGCTGCACAACATGTCCACTCTGATGGAGGTTTAAATAAAAAGTATTGGTATGTGCGATCTAGCTTAGCTCAAACAGGCGACCCAGCAGGCTGTTAGAGGTTTAATACATCCAAAGAACTTCTATAAAAACCAGACCGGGCTTCTAATTGAGACCTGAATCAGCTGAGGGACCAGCACAGACACAGGTGGGGTGGTGATGGCGCAGTGGATAAGACAGAAGCCTTTGGTGGGAGAGACCCGGGTTCGAATACCTCAGGGACACCATTGTGTCCCTTAGCAAGACACTTATCCCCATTGTTGCTCCAGAGGCGTGCGACCTCTGACCTACATAGCAATTCTAAGTCACTTTATCCGCTTTGGATAAAAGCGTCAGCTAAATGAATAAATGTAACGTAAATGTAGGTTCAGACACTGATGGTGATGCTACGACAGGAGAGGGTTCATCATACCGGTCTGAGGTCAGCGTTCTATGTTTTAAACACGACCTGTTTCCAGTAACGTCTTTCGTTATGATCCCATTAACCAGAGCGAGCTACAACATCACACTTTTACAAACAAATTTTTTATCGTTATCAACAAATAACATTTAATAACATTTGCACACCTGTAGACTCACCTGCCAACCCTGGAGCCTGCTGAGGACCACAAGATCCGCTACAGTTTAAAGCTCAACACTTACTTTGCATCTTGTAGTCAAAGGTGAGCTCCTCTCCTGCCCGAATGGCCCGCGTTGAAAACAGAGCGATTCTCGGCAGCCGCTCGTCGATGTTGTCGATGAACACGTTATAGACCTGCAAGTTGGGGTTACACTGCAAACACAATACAGTGCGTCAGGAGCCGCCACGCTTCAAAATACTCCTTCATGTGTCTGGTGTAAGACCCAGACCCAGCCTGAACACACTCACGCTGTGGTTGACGAAGTGGGAGACGTTTCCTTGATGAGCTGCGTCCACCGTGTACACGTCCTCCACGTAGTCCAGATCGAACAGGTAGGTGGAGCCCTGGCGGTCGTACACGTGGCCCCGCCTTTCTGCTTCATCAGTTGTAATGATCTGGACTCAGTGAGACAGGAAACGCTTCACTGTTACACAGTTGATCAATTTCAGTCCTGACATCTGATCAGCTCTCAGAGAAATGAAAGCACAGGGTCAAAGTTCCTGCAGGTGTAGTCTGTCTGGCCCACGTCGGTCCTGAATGATCAGGCACCATCTTATGATAAAGCTGGACTGATTTCTCTTATTGACAAGTCAGATTTATGGGCAATGAGCAGCGTTACGGTTTTTAAATGCATTTACACCTCTGATGAAAGCTGTCTGACTCAAAGGTAAAAGGAAATTCCTCGTTTATTTTAGTTTAATAGCAGCCAACAGGAAAAGAAATCACATTTTGATGCACTGATTAATTGTTTTATCCACTTATAAATCGAAATTTACACACTGCTCAGACCTGAACCCACGTGGACCCTGAGAAACCTGCAACGTCCCGCCATGTTTCCCTCAGGGGATCAGCGCGCAGTGTGTCTCTGCTCTACTGGACATATCACTGTCTTGGTAAAAATGATTAGTTCAATATAATGCCTGGCTCTAAACGCCAACATGGACGAGGACTCTTCGTGTGTGACACTGATTCACCTGAGCACAGATGTTAAAGCTGCCGGAAGCTAAAATACTGCTTTGACTTGAACCCAAGACATTTAATCTCCTCAGAAGCAGCAAACGAACATCTGATACCCGTACGACCTCCTGATGTGGATGCTGCTTCAGTGTTTGTAGGTTCACCTGCTTCCTGTTGGATCTCTGCTAATCCCACATCCTCCTTGTCATTAGTTTCCACCTACAGCTCAGACTCAACCTTAGTCAGCTAAGCTGTCAGGCTAATGTTGGTGCTACACAGTGACTAGCTAATAAAGCGGTGATTATGAAAAACGATAAATATCATGGACAAAATAAAGCTGACTGTGGAAACTAAGGTAGGGTTACTGTGCAGCTGACAGGAAGTGAACAGATGGAGAACAGATGTCACACACGGAGCTGATATTAAGAGAATCTGAGCCTGGTTAGTAAGGATATCCTGTCACAGCGTTCAGCCACATCAGAGTACTGATACAGATTTATTTCCACTATGCTTTGGGCCGGACTCAACTTCTCAACATCAAGATCCATCCAGACTCCCTGCTCATTGTTCTCGGGGACTTCAAAAGAGCAAACCTCAACCATGAACTCCCAAAGTACAGACAGCATATTAAGTGTCCCACCAGGGACACTAACACGCTGGACCGATAACAAGACGTTCGAGGTGTATTCCTCAGAGGAATAAACACTTTCCCACCGTAATACCAAGATTTCCCAGAGTTTACACAGTAAACGCCATGTGGATGAAATTAGACAGATGATACTCTGACTTCCCATTCCAGTGAAGGCAGCACGGAGCTGTGCCACGAGAAGCTGCCGGAGGAAAAAATACACCGCCTCGTCCAGTCGCAGTAGAGTAAACTGGCAGGTTTTAATGTTGCAGACCACAGTTTTTTGGTTTAAACTCGTATTGTTGTGAATCTTTGGTGTAAACTCACCTTAGAATTTCCAACTAACAAACACCCCCCAAAAGCAGCTCAACGCCCCCCTTTCCAAAATATTGCTTCCAGCGCCCTCCATCGTCCTCGGAACGCCCCCGTTGACAAACACTACTCTACACCAACGACTGCACCTCAGGAGACCCATCTGTCAAACTCCTCAAGTTCGCTGATGACACGACGGCCATCGTTCTCGTCCGGGACGGTGACCAGTCGGCCTACAGACGGGAGGTTGATCAGTTGGCTCTCTGGTGCGGTCAGAACAACCTGGAGCTTAACCAGGGTATATATATACACTGGAATCCTGAAGTGAAATTCAATACCTTTCAAGACCTTTCCACTTGGAACATTAACCAGTTAAGTCAGCCTCACACCTTTAAAAGGAGAATTGTGGAGGTTTTACAAGGAATTTAAAAATATTTATAACGTCTGTATTGCCTAGATTTGATCCAGTTGTAACCTAAAAATTGAGGCACTGACCAACTCTCCCAGCTGCCTATAACAGCCTGTATAGGCCTGCTGTTTTCTATGTGAAGGACTGGTTGGATTTCCTGCAAAAATCCATCGTCTTACAAAGGCTACGGCATTTGTGTGTGCAATATTACTGCCAAACATATGAAACACAGTGTGATTTTGTGCTTTAGTTGGTTCAAACTAGATAATGCTAGCCTGCCTACAAACGCCAACCAGTTGATAACTACCTTGACATAGTTGAAATTTATTTTCAGACATAAATTTGTAAAGGGTGTACTGTTGGTTGCTATCTGAAACCTTACAGTAAGAAGCCACTAAAAACTACACAACGCAACTTTCACTTACATTTACTATAAATTGATTTCAAGACTGTAAAACTCAACACTCTTGTTTGTGATAACTTTCATATAGGCCAGAAGAGAACAAAGCTGAAGAGAATAAACTGAGTGATGGATAACGTTGGTAGTGCGGGCAGAGTAGCACAGACATTTGCGATCAACAGCTGCTGTCGTATAGCTGCACGGTAAAGCTGATTTGTATAAACTTTAGTGAAACAGATGTAAACTAGAACAAGGGGAACATGTTGAACGATGGCTTCCTGGCTCTGGCTAAATCTACATCTGTCCACTACAGGGGCTCGATTCACAACCTGGAGGAGGAACTAGTATAAATGACCGCATTAGTATAATATTACGACATTATATTAAAAGTATGTTGTTAATTTAATAGTAAACTGTCATATAATAGTATATACCATATCATTATAATATTAATCCCAGTTACCTTAATTTTAAGTAGGCTACTAACTCATCAGTAATCACAACTATTTATGCAGAACAATGAGGTCAACATTTAAAAAGTTTGCTGTAGCACATCAAACTCCATCCAGGCTTTGATTCATCTGTTCACGAGAAGCGACACTGACGAGCGCATCGGCTTTATGAAAAGTTCAACGTGTTTCAATAAAAAGGCAACCAAATAGCTTCCTATATATTTTCCCTGTTGTCTTCTGTCTTACCGATTCAGCTGCTGGCGCCGCATCTTGCTCGTTTTTGATTAACTGTCGGCCACAGAGCCAATAAATATCATCATCATCTATCAACTAGGGCTGGCCCCGAATATTCAAATATTCGACCGTTGGGTACACATTCGATTTTCAATTATGAGATTCGATTATTGAGGGGTTTTTTCGCACGCCTGACCTCCGCTGAACGCAACACTCCAGTTCACATCAAAGGGAAAACTAAATGAAGCCCTCAGCTGTGTGGGAGCACTTTAAACGGAGTGATGACAACACTAGTGTGGAAGTTATGGCGTTTATTAATTTTACAATTGCTTAATTTCATTACAGATCAAAACAGTCAAATTTCCTACATTTTAAAATTAATCAGTAAACTGTAGGCTAGAAACAAACAGCAACACAAGGAACGCATTTAAATAAGCCTAATTATATTAGGCCGATTGTAGAAGAGCATTTAGTCGCTATAATTAAAATTAAAAGTGAATTTTGCATAAAAACAGGTTAGATTTAGTTCCGCTACCGGAAACACTGCTCATCCCGTCTGCTCTCTGTGGATCCTGCCCGGCTAAACTATTCCCGGATTCTGCTCTGAACCGGCTCGGCTCAGACTCTCTCACTCTGGACTCTCAGCTACGGTTCCCCCTGCTCTGTACAGCAGCCACCAATCCGGTTCGGCACGCATCTATTTTCACTCTGCTTCACTCTTCCGCTGCTCAAGCGAGCTTCAATTATTTGCTCTTATTTACGTCACGTTTACGTTTTCGAAGCGTCAAAGCTCAAATAATGACATTCGGGCCAGCTCTACTATCAACGTACACAGCTGATCCCCGTACCAGGGTGGGGGGCGCCGTCAAACAAAAGTACTTCTTAAACGCTGCAATGATGAAATAATCTTTCTCTAAAATCATCGTTAGCCGCAGCCTTACTTCCCACAAGCCATCACTCTGATTCACAGTGTCAGGAACAATTCCTGTGCAATAACCCAGCAACTGTCTCTAATCAGCCACCTGTTTACTGACTAACACTTATTATTTATTCATCAGTCTCTCTTTCAGAGCTGTTCATACTGTTCATATTGTATATACTGTATACCAAATCCACCTACCTCATGTACATAACACCTGCATAATACTTATTTATTCCTGCATCCTTTGCACTCTGCTCATTGCACTATTGTCTCAATCTGTCTATATTGTTTTTGTTTGTACTATATGTGTGTTCTCTATATTGTAGCCCGTGTCTGATTTTATTGTATTATTGTATAAGTAAGCACATCGTGAGTATTGTACAAACCCAAGTCAAATTCCTCGTATGTGTCCACATACCTGGCAAATAAAGCTGATTCTGATTCTGATATCTACTCAGAGGCGAACCTGCAGCAGCTGTGAACACTGATGTGGGCTCATAAATGTGACGTGTGGCGTTCAGGTTCACTGTAGACAACTTCTCCCTGACCGGATCAGGTAAAGTTGGGGGTCTCACCTCTCCCACGTACTCCATGACAAAGGTGTTCTTCTTGATGTGCTGCAGCGTGCGGACGCCCCAGCCCCGGCCGTTCTCCGTTTTAAAGATGCACAGGTCGAACTGGATGCCCTTCTGCACCACTCTGTTGGGGCAGTCGCTGCCACAGCTGCACTGGGAGTTGCACTCGTATATGGGCTGCCCCGGCCGGATGCGGACCTGCCCCCTGTCGGTGTAGGCCATGCGGTGCAGCGAGGCCCCGGGGCAGCAGCCATTCACCGGCTCCTCTAAGCAGTTCTTGCACTCGCAGCCCACAGCCATCTCATCCAGCACGATGCCCTGGCCCACCTTGTAGTTGTTGATGTAGGTGAAGTTCTTCGGGGGGCCCTCGAAGTCCACTTCGTTCATGACAAAAATGCGACCTGGGTGGTTGCGGGTCTGGTTCAAATGTGCCTCCCAGCGCTGCAGACTCAGACGGAGTTTGGCTTTCTGGACAAGGAACAAGGCAACTTCCTTATCCAGCTTTTTAGGGGTGCCGCGTCTCTTGTGGCGCCTCAGCTCCTGGTCCAGGTCCAGGTGGAACTGCTTCATCAGTTTGGGGCATTTGAGGTTCCTCTTGGGTTCCCAGCTGTTGTCTGACTCTGGGAAGCCCTTCCACTTCACCAGGTAGAACTCCTCCACCTGAAACACACGACACCTTCAGTACAGAGTTTAATATGTGATCACATCCAAACTATTTCTAATAAATTCTGTGCTGAGCCCGGGTTCACCTGCAGCATGACGGACTACAGGACACTGCTGCAGCTTCATAACTTTAATACCTGGAGACCTCGGAGTGAGCAATATGGATAAGTCACTTTATACCATATCTACACAATCTGTTCGTAACGCAGCTCTGATTGATGTGCAACACACTTTACCTGTATTAACGGGATTGATCCTGCAGTATGACAACTTCTGTGTCTCTCAGTGCTGCACACTCAGCCTAATAATTAGTAGATACATGAGGAGTTTTATGTTTGCAACATCTACAACCTTCCAGTGATTTCTGTAAATCTGACTTTTAAACAGTTGTTGACAACTGATGACGGCTCCATTAGGGCTGAAATAATTCATCGATTACTATTAAAGAAGACTAAATGCATCGACACAAATTCTTTGCATCGATGCTTCGTTTAATCCATGTAACTTTACAGCACACTGTTTCGCAGGGACATTTATTACGGTCGCACATCGTGCTTACGCTGTGAACACGACGTGATTATAACGGCGCTGTTTGCAAAGTGGAGGAAGAGAGAGAAAATAGCGAGGGACGAAGAAGAAAGTGTCCAGAGTGTGGGATTATTTCAAGCTAAAGAAAACAACAACTGTAATGTTACCGTCCGTCAGCCGTAAAACTGCCAGCGGACCACAGGCAAGGGAACAGTAACAGCAACTTTAGCATTTAACTGAAACCGTGACTGACTGTTGAGTTGAAGCCAAAGTAAGCCGCAGTCCTCAGCTGAAAATGTGCACATCGTTCTCCTGGGTGGGCAGTGAGTTGTAGCCTCACAGTCAGGAGTTAACTGGGTGTCGGGAGCTGCACCTTTTAACTCCCCTGCAGCTCTCTCTGTAGCTCTGACAATCCCTGCTACCTGCGTGTGCTAATCCACCCTTTCACCCAGATTCTTTGTCTTTAGAATAACCAACAGCAGCTGTTTCGTGTGCAGGATCGCTCATTTCCCGTTTCACGTGTCTTCTTGACAAAACGTGGTTTGGAGACCAGCGTCGGGTGACACAGCAGCCGTCAGCTCCTGTAGTGTGCGTGTGTCCCTGTCACCGATCAGTCAAGTAGTGTGAACGGCCACAACAACTTCAAGACTGCCGTCATATGACGGCAAGTTGTGTGAACGGCACGGCCGACGCTGACGGTCGTGTAGTCTGCACGAGCCTTTAGTATAACACCGTAGCTGAGAGTCCAGAGTGAGAGAGTCTGAGCCGAGCAGGTTCAGAGCAGAATCCGGGAATAGTTTAGCCGGGCAGGATCCACAGAGAACAGACGGGATGAGCGGTGTTTCCGGTAGCGGAACTAAATCTAACCTGTTTTTATGCAAAATTCACTTTTAATTTTAATTATAGCGACTAAATGCTCTTCTTCTACAATCGGCCTAATATAATTAGGCTTATTTAAATGCGTTCCTTGTGTTGCTGTTTGTTTCTAGCCTACAGTTTACTGATTAATTTTAAAATGTAGGAAATTTGACTGTTTTGATCTGTAATGAAATTAAGCAATTGTAAAATTAATAAACGCCATAACTTCCACACTAGTGTTGTCATCACTCCGTTTAAAGTGCTCCCACACAGCTGAGGGCTTCAGCGCTGTCTGGTTGTTGGTCTGATGTTTGCTGTATGACACACTGAATTTCTGAAAGCACCAATAAATATTTATCACTTAGAAACGTTCACAGCTGATCCCGTTACCGGGAGGGGGGCGCTGCTTCTTAAACGACGCATCAATGAATCGTTGAAATAATCTATGGAAGCTTCGAATACTAAAATCATCGTTAGCTGCAGCCCTAGGCTCCATGCTGTACTGTCAGGACATTAGACCAAGGCTTCCTGCTTCAGTGTTGACCAACCAGACTTCAGTTTGATAATCAATGAGTCACAAGGCTTCTTGGTGCATCTGTTTTCAATTTCACGTCCATATGATTGGTTTAGACTACAGAATCTGTAGTAAAACCTGTCTGGATGTTTCTTTTGCTATACCAAATATATTCCTCATGTTCAAAACATTAAAATGGGAAACATCATAGTCTGTAGACAAAGCCCGCAGAAATAGTTAACATCTGACCTACCTACAGTATAATGGAAGCAAAAACTACACACTTCTACCGGTCAGTTTTTATTCAGGGATCTTGAGACCGACCGTTTCCTTTGGGAATCAGCGCCTCGTTTAGAATGGCTGCGTTTGTCTAAGACCACCGAAAGGCTTCAGTTTATAAAAGCAAAGTTGACGGGAGAGAGCATGAGCATCTGAACACGAGTGTGAGCCAGGTGCACAGAGGGAAGGCGTGTCCATGTTCACTACCAGACATTTTTGTTTACTGCTGCAGAATAACCAAAGAAGGTAATGACAAAGTTTAGAAAAATTGTAAATTTTAGAAATATACGAATAATGACTCAAGTTATTCTGCAGCAGTGGCAGGAAATGAAACATTTCTACAGTAAACACCTTGGAACCGCCTGTTAATCCACCCTCAGAAGCTTTATTTGGACTATATTATATATACTGTATATAATATTAATGAAGGAAGACGGAGCAGCTGGTCATCAGTTGATCCTGCAGTGAAATAATGAACATTGTTCATTTTAGATCTGAAAATGTCTGTTTTGGTGACGTTGTTTTTAACTTTGGTACCATTTAAGGTTTTTCACTGGACCTGAACTACAAACACAGGGCTGTTCTAAAACTTTGGACCGTTTTCAAGTTGACAAATGGTAAAAGGCATCTTGTTGTTGAACTTTATGTGCAGCATTAATTCCTTTAGTTTTGCAGCAGATGAAGCACAGTGTTGTGTACAGATGGATAACAGTAACGTCTCTCTTCTATGTGTCCTGGATGTGCAGCGTTTAAACTGTGAAATGCATGCAGAGCTGGTGTCAGTAGTAACACTTTACCTTGGTCTTCTTGTAGTCACAGAGGAACTCCACCTCATAGTCATTGACGTTGGCCCTGTTGACCCCGAGCTGTTTGCAGTGGAGCCTCTCTCTGCGACACAGGGCCTCCAACTCATCCCAGGACATCTTACAGGCCACTCTGCAATCTGACACAGCAACTCCCTTTAACTACACCAGACTCCACTCAAAACTCTGCTGATTTGAAATGGCACGGCTCACTGCTCACAGGGTGCAAATCAATACAATATGACTTTAATACGTGTTAACACTGGCTGGATGAATGGTTTAATTCGGTGCACTTAAAACCGCAGAGAGGCACATTTATGTCAACAAAATCTACTTTTTTATCAGATCAGCCGGCTTTCTGCCGCCAAACAAGGCAGCGGGGGCAGGAGCAGGTTTAGTGAACTAATGATCAGGTGATGATCAGTGCATTAACAGTCGTGTGAATCGATCTCTTAGTAAACATGTGGTTTTATTGTGCGGCGGCTCCTGATAAACATACAAGGCTTTTGTGGTAAAGAGAAGCGCCAATAAAAAGAAATGCAACTGGAGGCTGGAGCGGCTTTAGGATCTAACTCGAAGTCTTATAAGACTAGTTGAATATAAACGCAAACACAATATATAGCAGAATATATAAACCCGAAGCCCAAACAAAGCCACATGTAGCGTTACATATTAACACAAAGCCATTTAAACGCGTCGCTGCGTGGCGCGCTGTGCGGGCCGAGGGGAGCTTTACCCGCTCAACCCCGCAGCCTGCTCCTACACAGCTCAAAGTAACTGATCAAACACATTGGTTAAAGCTCTACTGATCAGACGCCAAGCTCCTGAGCTGAATGAAAGTAACTCCGGCTTCACACGCGGACAGTTTCACAACAAAAGAGTCTGATTTAACAGCCGAAGCCTCCGGACATCTGTGATCAACAGCGGACTCAGAGACCCGCGGCCTTCATGTTCCGGGTCTTTACACACTTTACAGTGGAATTAGACTTTAAAACAACCGTAAACACGCGTGTAACGTAATATAAAGTCGTATCTTGTCCCCGTAAGTTACCTTTCAAATTTTCCGCCATGTTTTCCGCACAGCCGCCAAAATAGGACAAGCTACGTTAGTGGGCAGGTCCTCATGCGCGCGCGCTGACGCGGCCGCTGATTGGTGGAGCCTCATCTGTCGGCTCTCTGATTTGCTCTGAGGCAGTCAGGAGGCTTGGCCCGAACATGCCCGAAGATGTACGAAGACGGTTGAATTCACCAAGAAGTTACGGCAGATTGTTGTTCCGCTGATCCCGCTTCCTGTCCTGCACAGTCCCCCAGAACACCAGGACCCTGGAACTGTACTTGGGCTTTTCTATTTTACTCTGTGTGGTTTGAAGCCCTGACCCACAGACCGCCCAGTCTGTCCCACATCAGGCTCCTGTTCCTGGTCTGCACAGAGCCTGCAGGGACCTGTTGCTGTTGATATGATCATTAGTGCTGCTGATGAAATAAAACACTGTTATTAACGTGTTTTTGATAATACTGCATACAAAGGTCCGTCTGTGAGTAGGACAGTTAAAATCATTCTGCAGGTCTGTTGGGGAGCCAGAAGCTCAGAGGGGGACAGGAAGAGACCACATGAACCTGATCAGAGGGCTAGTTCCATCCTGGACTGGCTCTGGTCTCCACATAAAGAATGACGTCCTTCAGCAACCAGTGGTGGTCAGGTACTGTACTTAAGTACACATTCGAGGTACTTGTACTTTAAATGAAACTGATTTGATGCTGCTGATTAAAATTGAATTCCACTTTACTCACTGAAAATAAAGTGCTTTGACTTCACTGGATTTTAATGTGAACATGATCACATGATCAGAATGTGACATCATTTCCTGTTTCTCTCAGTGCTCATCAAAACAAAACATTTCACTGTTAAACTGTTTAAAAGAATTATATTGCCTGATTATAAAAGGGATTTCTTGATGTTAACGTTACTCAAAGTAACTTCATAATGTTCCAGGTGAGTTGGTCTGTAAATCTTAGGTTTGGTAAAGTCACTGTATTCATCGGCTCCATGTTTAAGTGTTTGCAAATACAATACAAGATGTTTGATATAAACAAAGGCAGAGAGTCAGAGTTTTACACTAAACATTTGTTTTACTGAACCATTAAACTTTACAAACACAAACATGACCCAGAACAGAGGGTGTTCTCATTTACATAGTTTTACATATCTGTTGTCTGATCTGAGCAAACGTGACCACCTACCTACGATGATGTCACTGCTTTATGCAAATACAGTTTGAAATGAAATGGTACAGGCACAGGCAGGGGGATCAATAGTGAAACAGTCAGAGTGTTTCAGAGCCAGAGAGCATGTTAAAGGAGCCAGATCCAGATCCAGGAGCAGCCATAGTCCAGGTATCTGTACGCTGGGGCACAGGGCAGTCAGGTAACCATCATGCATTCTGTTTGCTTCTCTATAAAACATAAACATTTGAGACACACACAGAGCGAGCAGTGTCTCTCCTGATGATATCTGTCCTCCAGTCTTAGGTACGTCTGATCACAGCACAGGTTCCAGACTAGTCCTCCTCACAGAGCCTGAACCACTACCAGCATCCTCGGTGGTTAACTAGTTTATTAAAGCTGGTCAAACCACAGTCACATCCTTATAGTCCTGGTAGTTAATGTCAGCCCTGGGAGTGATGCCGGTTAGATCTACACCAGGTACCTCTGCAGACCTGGGCTCCCCTGGTTCTGGTCTGCCCGGCTTCAGACCTGTGGCCCGCGGGAAGGGGAACCCGTCCAGAGGAGTGTGCTCGATCCTGCACAGGCTGTCCTCGCTGTCGCTGCTGTAACCAGGATTGGAGGCGCTGATGGGTCGGCTGGGCCAGCCCAGCTCTGACAGCGTGCCAGACTCGCCACACGTCCCCTGGACATCCTCTGTCTGAATGGCCTTCTCCAACTGCCAGATCCGGACGGGCACCCCTGCGTCCTCCACCACGTTCGGCTCCACTTTACGGAAGGTGTGGCGGGCGTACAGGCCGATGCAGAACATCTCCACGATCACAGAGTAGTGGTAGATCACTGAGGACACAGGACACAGGTCTGAGCGTCTGCAGGGACCACAGGTCTGAACGCCTACAGGGACCACAGGTCTGAACACCCACAGGTACCACAAGTCTGAACGCCCACAGGGACCACAGGTCTGAACGCCCACAGGGACCACAAGTCTGAACGCCCACAGGGACCACAGGTCTGAACGCCCACAGGGACCACAGGTCTGAACGCCCACAGGGACCACAGGTCTGAACGCCCACAGGGACCACAGGTCTGAACGCCCACAGGGACCACAGGTCTGAACGCCCACAGGGACCACAGGGACCACAAGTCTGAATGCCTACAGGGACCACAAGTCTGAATGCCTACAGGGACCACAAGTCTGAATGCCCACAGGGACCACAAGTCTGAATGCCCACAGGGACCACAGGGACCACAAGTCTGAATGCCCACAGGGACCACAGGTCTGAACGTCTACAGGGACCACAGGTCTGAACGTCCACAGGGACCACAGGTCTGAACGTCCACAGGGACCACAGGTCTGAACGTCCACAGGGACCACAGGTCTGAACGCCCACAGGGACCACAGGTCTGAACGCCCACAGGGACCACAAGTCTGAACGCCCACAGGGACCACAAGTCTGAACGCCCACAGGGACCACAAGTCTGAACGCCCACAGGGACCACAGGGACCACAGGTCTGAATGCCTACAGGGACCACAGGGACCACAGGTCTGAATGTCTACAGAGACCACAGGTCTGAATGTCTACAGAGACCACAGGTCTGAATGTCCACAGGGACCACAGAGACCACAGGTCTGAATGTCCACAGGGACCACAGAGACCACAGGTCTGAATGCCCACAGGGACCACAGGCCTGAATGTCCACAGGGACCACAGAGACCACAGGTCTGAATGTCTACAGGGACCACAGAGACCACAGATCTGAATGTCCACAGGGACCACAGAGACCACAGGTCTGAATGTCCACAGGGACCACAGAGACCACAGGTCTGAATGCCCACAGGGACCACAGGCCTGAATGTCTACAGCGACCACAGAGACCACAGGTCTGAATGTCTACAGGGACCACAGGTCTGAATGCCCACAGGGACCACAGGTCTGAATGTCCACAGGGACCACAGAGACCACAGATCTGAATGTCTACAGGGACCACAGAGACCACAGATCTGAATGTCTACAGGGACCACAGAGACCACAGATCTGAATGTCTACAGGGACCACAGAGACCACAGATCTGAATGTCCACAGGGACCACAGAGACCACAGGTCTGAATGCCCACAGGGACCACAGGGACCCACAGGTCTGAATGCCTACAGGGACCACAGGGACCCACAGGTCTGAATGCCTACAGGGACCACAGGGACCCACAGGTCTGAATGCCTACAGGGACCACAGGGACCCACAGGTCTGAATGTCCACAGGGACCACAGGGACCCACAGGTCTGAATGTCCACAGGGACCACAGGGACCACAGGTCTGAATGTCCACAGGGACCACAGGTCTGAATGTCTACAGGGGCCGCAGAGACCACAGGTCTGAATGTCTACAGGGGCCGCAGAGACCCACAGGTCTGAATGCCTACAGGGGCCGCAGGCCTGAATGTCTACAGAGACTGCAGGGACCGCAGGCCTGAATGTCTACAGGGACCACAGGCCTGAATGTCTACAGGGACCACAGGCCTGAATGTCTACAGGGGCCGCAGAGACCACAGGTCTGAATGTCTACAGGGGCCGCAGAGACCACAGGTCTGAATGTCTACAGGGGCCGCAGAGACCACAGGTCTGAATGCCTACAAGGATCACAGGTCTGAATGCCTACAGGGGCCGCAGAGACCACAGGTCTGAATGCCTACAGGGGCCGCAGAGACCACAGGTCTGAATGCCTACAGGGGCCGCAGAGACCACAGGTCTGAATGCCTACAGGGGCCGCAGAGACCACAGGTCTGAATGCCTACAGGGGCCGCAGAGACTACAGGTCTGAATGCCTACAGGGACTACAGGTCTGAATGTCTACAGGGACCGCAGAGACCCACAGGTCTGAATGCCTACAGGGACCGCAGGTCTGAATGTCTACAGAGACCGCAGGGACCACAGGTCTGAATGTCTACAGGGACCGCAGGGACCACAGGCCTGAATGTCTACAGAGACCACAGGCCTGAATGTCTACAGAGACCACAGGGACCACAGGTCTGAATGTCTACAGAGACCACAGGCATGAATGTCTACAGCGACCACAGGGACCACAGGCCTGAATGTCTACAGGGACCACAGGTCTGAACGCCTACAGGGACCACAGGGACCACAGGTCTGAACGCCTACAGGGACCACAGGGACCACAGGTCTGAATGCCTACAAGGATCACAGGTCTGAATGTCTACAGGGGCCGCAGAGACCACAGGTCTGAATGCCTACAAGGATCACAGGTCTGAATGCCTACAAGGATCACAGGTCTGAATGTCCACAGGGACCGCAGAGACCACAGGTCTGAATGTCTACAGGGGCCGCAGAGACCACAGGTCTGAATGTCTACAGGGGCCGCAGGGACCACAGGTCTGAATGCCTACAAGGATCACAGGTCTGAATGCCTACAGGGGCCGCAGAGACCCACAGGTCTGAATGCCTACAGGGACCACAGGTCTGAATGTCTACAGGGACCGCAGAGACCACAGGCCTGAATGTCTACAGAGACCACAGGCATGAATGTCTACAGCGACCACAGGTCTGAATGCCTACAGGGACCACAGGGACCACAGGTCTGAATGTCTACAGGGACCACAGGCCTGAATGTCTACAGGGACCACAGAGACCACAGGCCTGAATGTCTACAGAGACCACAGGCATGAATGTCTACAGAGACCACAGGCATGAATGTCTACAGCGACCACAGGTCTGAATGCCTACAGCGACCACAGGTCTGAATGCCTACAGGGACCACAGGGACCACAGGTCTGAATGTCCACAGGGACCACAGGGACCACAGGTCTGAATGTCCACAGGGACCACAGGTCTGAATGTCCACAGGGACCACAGGTCTGAATGTCCACAGGGACCACAGGCCTGAATGTCCACAGGGACCGCAGAGACCACAGGCCTGAATGTCTACAGCGACCACAGGCATGAATGTCTACAGCGACCACAGGTCTGAATGCCTACAGAGACCACAGGTCTGAATGCCTACAGAGACCACAGGGACCACAGGTCTGAATGTCCACAGGGACCACAGGTCTGAATGTCCACAGGGACCACAGGTCTGAATGCCCACAGGGACCACAGGTCTGAATGTCTACAGGGACCGCAGAGACCACAGGTCTGAATGTCTACAGGGACCGCAGAGACCACAGGTCTGAATGCCTACAGGGACCGCAGAGACCACAGGTCTGAATGCCTACAAGGATCACAGGTCTGAATGCCTACAGGGGCCGCAGAGACCACAGGTCTGAATGTCTACAGGGACCGCAGAGACCCACAGGTCTGAATGTCTACAGGGGCCGCAGAGACCCACAGGTCTGAATGCCTACAGGGGCCGCAGAGACCCACAGGTCTGAATGTCCACAGAGACCACAGGTCTGAATGTCCACAGAGACCACAGGTCTGAATGTCCACAGGGACCACAGGTCTGAATGTCCACAGGGACCACAGAGACCACAGGTCTGAATGTCTACAGGGACCGCAGAGACCACAGGTCTGAATGCCTACAAGGATCACAGGTCTGAATGCCTACAGGGGCCGCAGAGACCACAGGTCTGAATGCCTACAAGGATCACAGGTCTGAATGTCTACAGGGACCGCAGAGACCACAGGTCTGAATGTCTACAGGGACCGCAGAGACCACAGGTCTGAATGCCTACAAGGATCACAGGTCTGAATGCCTACAGGGGCCGCAGAGACCACAGGTCTGAATGCCTACAAGGATCACAGGTCTGAATGTCTACAGGGGCCGCAGAGACCACAGGTCTGAATGTCTACAAGGATCACAGGTCTGAATGCCTACAGGGGCCGCAGAGACCACAGGTCTGAATGTCTACAGGGACCGCAGGTCTGAATGTCTACAGGGGCCGCAGAGACCACAGGTCTGAATGCCTACAGGGACCGCAGGTCTGAATGCCTACAGGGACCGCAGAGACCCGCAGGTCTGAATGCCTACAGGGACCGCAGAGACCACAGGCCTGAATGCCTACAGGGACCGCAGAGACCCGCAGGTCTGAATGCCTACAGGGACCGCAGGCATGAATGCCTACAGGGACCGCAGGGACCACAGGTCTGAATGTCCACAGAGACCACAGGTCTGAATGTCCACAGAGACCACAGGTCTGAATGCCCACAGGGACCGCAGAGACCACAGGTCTGAATGCCTACAGGGACTACAGGTCTGAATGCCTACAGGGGCCACAGGTCTGAATGCCTACAGGGGCCACAGGTCTGAATGCCTACAGGGGCCACAGGTCTGAATGCCTACAGGGGCCACAGGTCTGAATGCCTACAGGGGCCACAGGTCTGAATTCCTACAGGGGCCGCAGAGACCACAGGTCTGAATGCCTACAGGGGCCGCAGAGACCACAGGTCTGAATGCCTACAGGGACTACAGGTCTGAATGCCTACAGGGACTACAGGTCTGAATGCCTACAGGGACTACAGGTCTGAATGCCTACAGGGACCACAGGTCTGAATGCCTACAGGGACCACAGGTCTGAATGCCTACAGGGACCACAGAGACCACAGGTCTGAATGTCTACAGGGACCAAAGAACAAAAGTTCTTTTCTGTTGTTGCATTCAGACTACTATGGATCTAAAGCAGTGTGATGCAGTGTGTACACCCCATACAGACCAGGACCTGGGTCAAAGTGAGTCCCGATGTGTTGATTCTGTCAGTGTGCCCGTTTTCTCCTGGTGTTCGACTGTGAGTCAGTGCACAGTGACGTCGTGGCTTTCAGCCACATCTCATGGTTGCTTATGTGTGGAACCCTGTCCTCCAGCTGTCCACTGAGGACAGAACATGAGCTGCAGCTGAAAGTGACCTTGAGGTGAGATTATTTTGTCACACTAGTCAAAGGAAACTGAAATAGAACATCAGCAGAACCTTTACAGACTCTTGTGTTCCCGCCTGGTCTCTGCTTTGTGCTGATACATTAGATAGATGGTGAACCTGGTGTGAGACTGAGACTAGAAGAGGCCAGATGTCACTTACACTGGGACCTGGTCAGGACGGAGAAGGGGGGCGTGCAGGGGATGACCTCCAGAGCCCCCATGGTCTCTAAGATGCTGCTCTGCAGGCCACACAGCACCAGCACCACGATGACGCAGACGAACTTGGCCCTCAGTCCATATCCGGGTAGAGCTCTCTTAGTGGCTTTGTAGAACAGCAGGTGGCCGTAGAAGGACACGAAGGTGGACACACCGATGATAGCATTCACGTACAGGTTAGGGTTCACTGAATCCACCTGGAGAACAACAAGATGGCCATCAGTGATGTTATCCTTCAGCTCATGCAGGGCTGCTTGGAGGACGACCTGTGGACTTTAGACATGGGTAGGTATTAGCCTCTCCTGGAGCACTTCATGGGAAGTGACAGAAACAGATGTGTCCCATACTGCTAACCCTCCTGATTTTCAGACTCCTGTTTGTCTTTGTCTCTCCCAGTTCCTCCTGATTTAGGACAAATGTTCATTATTTCACTGCCTTCATTACAGTTTCTGGACAGTGAGTAGGAACCCAACAACTCTCTGTACTGTCTCAGCCCAGATAGGTAGCACGCATGTGACGATGGTCACATGAACTCTGACCATCATTTCAAACAGTCCGACCTGGATCTGATTTGGACCACATATGACAGTGGCTCAGATCCGAAGTGGAACAGATCAGAGTCCGTGTGACCTGTTAAAAACACATCAGATCTGAGTCACTTTAGCTGCAGTCTGAATGCAGCCAGATGAGCATGCCTTTAGTTATGAGACGTCATATTTGTTAGTTTCCATCTGAACAACAAAGACTTGCAACACTGTCAGTGAAGGTCAAAGCTGGTTGTTTATGAAGACGCATCGTCTCTCCACACGGCTTTAAACACTCTCACAAGTTCAGAGCAGACGTTTGGTTCCTCTCTGACATAGTTCTAATACAGACTCAGTTAAACATCTGATGTTTAAAACCCTGATGGGAACACATGAAATAAGATCCCCCCTCCCTATAAAATACATCAGACAGGTGGAGGTGTGAACAAAGACCCACATCACCGTAGTCGTACTGTTCATCCGTCCACAGAACCAGGGTGACAAAGAAGAGGACGCTGCGGACAACAGAGAGCTGCAGCACAGCCGCCATCATCCAGCCCCGGCTGCTGCTGCAGAGGAAGAAGAAGAAGTGAGCTCCGCACATCATCTCTGACTTTAGTGACTCTACAGGTGAAGTGTCTCCCAGTTGTGTGTGCGTACCTGTTGATGGCCACCAGAGGGAGACAGCAGCAGCAGCAGCAGGGGAAAGGATCTGGAGATACCTGCTGTCCAGACAAGGCAGCCAACATACGAGCTTTCCCTCCAAAGAAGTCAGTGATCAGGCCCATGAACTTCAGCAGGGTGATGGAGTGATACCTGCGCGCGCGCGCACACACACACACACACACACACACACACGGTCAGACGAGGCGGCGTGCAGCTGTGTGACTGCAGGTTATCCAGAACAGGCTGACTCACAGTGAAGCGATGAAATTACAGAGCGAGGACGAACGCGGCACATACAGCGCTATGAGTGAGGTGAAGATGAAGACCTGGGCAGAGACAACATTCACAGAGTGAGACACGAGCAGAGCTCATCGGACCACAACAACAGATTTCAGCAGGAGGAGGAGGCTGACGTTACCGGGTACATTCCTAATATCCACAGGTAGAGGCGCCGGCGTCTGGACGAGGGGCTGTGGCGCAGGAGGAAGCCCACCTCTTCCAGGAACACGCCCAGCAAAATGAGCGCCAGGCCGGCCGGGATGAGGAAGAGCCACAGCTCGTCTTTAATGGCTGTAAACACACACACAACCAAGAGTTTCCCGTTGGGCCGCTGCACAGCTGGGGTGATAAACCACAGAGTACAACAATACAAACAAAAACTGCAGTTTTTGACACACATCAATCAGACACTCCACATCAGAACATGATGAAATGGTTCAGACCAAACCCTGACCCAGTTATTTGTGCTTCAAAGATCATAAATTAAAACCTGGAACACAGAGGTAGTGCTGAAAAGCTGGAGGGAGAGGCTCGAGGCAGGTGCAACAAAGTGCTTTTGGTTCTGCTGCTTCATCCGTTACATCAGTCCCTAACAGCTCCACAGGGTTGATCCCTGATGTTAATATGATGGTTTCCTGTTTGTAGTTTGATTAGCATAGAGGCTAACCACAAGTCAGATCTGTTTCTGGGTTAATGAAACAAAAACATCTGAACCTGCTGTAGCTGCTGAATTGATTCTGTTACTGCTGCCTGATGGTAAAGTAGAACTACTAGGACCAGTATACTAATAAAGGTATGTTATTAGTCTAATGTGGATAAGACAGAGGCTGTAGACTGCTCCTAGCATTTGATGTATTTATTGAAGGGCTCAGCTGAGGTACTGCTACGTTGTTTTTAGTTTGTATTTTAACAGCTCCTTTCTTGATGTGCAGTTCTCCAGTAATGTCCAGTAAGAATGCAAGAACAAAGGTCTGTATAGACAAACGCTGTGTCCAGAGAGCGGGCTCACCAGTCAGCCTCGGTTTTGTTCTGTGGACTGAAGAGCTGGACTGATTTAACAATGACTTCCTTCGTGTGTCATTTGCTCCAGCAGCTTCTCCCGGGTTCATTACAATGTTTCAAATTATTTCAGGAGGGTTCGAGCTGATACAACTCGTGTTTAACATTTCCTGTTAAAAAGATATTTGGGGTTGTTTTCTCCTCCTTGTTTAAGGTAATAAAACACTGCAGGTGTAGTGTCCTGGTGTTTTTCCTCCACAGTCCTGAATGTGTCCTAATACAGATGTCCTCCAGTGTAAATCACTATTTCTGTAATTACTTTCCAAATGTTTTCCAGTATTTTCTGATGTTTTTTTCAGAAGAAAGAGGCTGTGACAGGTTTCTAAACTTACTTACTATCATTATTTATTAAGGTCTGCCTCCTGTACACTTTCAGACCTGAATACAAAGACTACAAAACAAACTGCACAGCCTATATCAGCATATTCCTTTAGTTACCTGGTCTCAGGTGTTTATCCTTCTGGGACCTGAACCCACAGCCCGGCAGAGCTGGACTGACAGAACGTTACTCACCGCTGAAGATCTGTGATGACAGAGGGATCTCAGGCCCGATCCAGCTACAGTTGGCCCCTCTTCCCATTCTCGCCTCTCCTTCCACCTGTCTCACTACAAACACAGGTAACAGCTGTCGGCCCGTTAGTCAGCTACAAACACCTGCTTTCATTAACGCCACAGCAGCAAACACACCTGGCTTCCACACACCTCTGTCTGTGGAATCCGCATGGACCTGAACACTTCCTGTCTGACTGGAAACATTAATGATTGACCAGATCCAGGTAGGAGGACAGGTGGGGGTCCAAGTCCATCCTGCCAGAGGTTTACTTGTCTCTGCTAGGAGCGAACATACGTGCTGCCATCACAACTGTAGTACACAGTAGTACTACACAGTAGGTTCTACTTTCTGTGGTTCTGTTTTAATGTTTCACCCTGTTCAATCTGAAGGAATTCTTTTTCTTTCTTTCTGCTAATGAGACACTAAACGAAAACTCACCAAACTTTGGACAAAATTTAAATCCCATGAAAATCTCCATGTCCTGTGTTTTCGTGCATGGGCGTGGCAAAATGGCTCATTAGCGCCCCCTACAGAGCAGCCACGTTTCTCCGAAATCTACAAAATCTTTGTGGAAGATGGATCATGTCCACACCTACAAGAAGCTTCTGGGAACAATGCCCTACAGCCAACAGGAAGTCGGCCATGTTGGATTTAATGGTCATTTTTTGTGATTTACAGGTTCCATCAGGTTCACCTGTAAGGTTTCATCAAACTTCACAATGTGCCATGGCGTTGAAAATCGATGATTCGCCATGAAAAAGGAAGTTGTTATAACGTCAGTGTACATGCTCAGATCTGTACCTAACTTTACATGTTTGATAAGAGTCCTGCCCTGAACACATCTACATTACATTTACTGATTTGGCAGATGCTTTTATCCAAAATGACTTACATTAGAGGAACAACATACAAACATCAACAAAGCATCAATACAGCAAGAGATCATAGCGCCACCTACTGGCAACAGGAAGTGAGCCCTTTCTGTGCCAAAAATCTTTTGATGTACACATTTTCACAGCACGGTCCACACTTCATGTACTGATACATAACATTTAATTAGCAGTTTTCTAGCGATAATTCCATAATGATCACTGCCTCCCTCTCTGCAGCCTCGTCACGCTGTCAGCCTCCTAATGATCACAGACAGCAGCTCGGTGACATAGAAACATTTAATAGGAAAAGTAAAAAAGAGGGAACACCTGAACCATCACAGTAAAAACTCTCATCACATACTGAAACGTTTCCAGACTTTAACACCAAAAGAACCAGTTCTGACCAAAGTGAATAAGTGAACAAGATGTTAGTGTGCTGGGAGCTCTGACGTTTTGTTCTCAGTCCAGTCAGACTCAAACCTTCCAGAAGAATCAGAGACCGTCTGCCATCAGGTCTGTCATCTCTATCTTCACACCTAGCTCTTCCCCCCTCACGCTGCACCTCCAGGTTTCTGCCGTCTGCTCCGGAGGCGTCACTGAATCAGCCGGTAGAAGACCCAGCTGGCAAACACGATCCAGTGGCTGGCCCAGTTCAGTTCAGACCACCTCTGGATGGTGTGGACGGCTGAGTAACCCTGTAGACCAGAACACATGCAGAGAGAAGAAGTCAGTCTGTGCAGGTCTATGCAGGACTGGGCCATGTAGACTCAGGGCGCTCTTACCTCTTCTACTTCCTGTTCATCGACCCCAGGATCAAACATAGAGCCCAGGTAGGTGAGGTGGAAAATGGCCAGGAAGCTGAAGACCAGGTTCAGCAACATTACCCAGTATTTCTGCAGACCAGGACAGAAGGACAGACGGCGACCCCTTCATTAAGAAGCTTTAGCCTGGACCTCGTTCTGTTTCTGTCTCCGAGACAGAAGGACAGACATCTCTGTGCAGACTACATCATGAGGGTCGAGGAAATAACTCCTCCCTCCTGACACTCCTGTATGAGTACCTCGATGTGTAGAGCTGTACCTTCTTGTGCTGATGGCTGCAGTCTGAGCTGCAGGGTCTGGACAGGATGCAGGCACTGAAGATGGATGCGAGCTTCTTTCTCAGAACTGAGGACGAGCAAACAGCAGCAGGGACCATTAATTAACACAGTCCATGATCACCGATTCACAGCGGCACAAAGCAGGTTTGGGTCGGTTTCTGGTTTTGCCAGTTCGGTCCAGTGTACAAGCTTAAACGGTTTGATTTTATAAAGCCAGCTGATTTGTCATTATAAGATGTTGTTCTCAGCAGCGTTGAGCCTTCAATGACGTCCAGCCCACGGGACAAGAACTCAAACACAACAGAGAAGCCGGACTCCCTCACAGATGCTTAAAGCTAGAAACCAGCATGTTCTGAAGACAGCAACACTTAAACTACTCAGTCCGGCACTAGTCATGATGGGAAATGTTGGCTGTTGCTGACACTCTCAGCACTCTTTCTTGACCCCACGTCAATCAGGTTACATAAACTGCCTTCTTCCACATGAAGAACATGGCTGCCCTCCAGCCCTCGCTGTCCTTTACTGCTGCAGAAACTCACCCACGCCCTCATCTCTTCCAGACTACTGCAGCAGCGTCCTCTATTGTTCACAGACCAAAAATAAACTTCAGTCCATCCAGAACTCTGCTGCCAGCATGCTCACCTCCCCCTGTCTCAGAGCCCACCCCAGTCCTTCACAACCTCCAGAGGCTTCTTGTTAAATTCAGAATCCACTTTAAACTCCCTGCCTCTCCTCGCCACACCTACCACTACACGTCGCCTTTTCCTGTTCCCATTTTCCCAGGCAACCTTCTTCCCTTCTTTTCTTTTCAATTACTTTCAATCTGTAAAGCGTCTAGCGCTATTTACAGTCCCCTCCAAAAGTATTGGAATGGTAAGGCAAATGGTAAGACATTTGGGTTTAAGATCAAAGATGAGACAAGAATTCAGAATTTCAGCTCTCATTTCCTGGTATTCACATCTAGATGTGTTAAACAACTCAGGACAAACCACCCTTTGTTTGAACCCACCCATTTTTCAAGTGAGCGAAACTATTGGAACATGTGACTGACAGATGTTTCTTGTTGCCCAGGTGTTGCCTTTTAGGTTGATTGTCCAAACATTAACTAGCTCAGAGCAGAAATATAGAGGCCACACCACAAGATGCAAACCACTCATCAGCAGCAAGAATCGGAAGGCCAGATTGAAATTTGCAAAGAAGTACAGAGATGAGCCGCAAAAGTTCTGGAACAGAATCCTATGGACTGATGAGACCAAGATTAATTAAGGACTTCATCAGGGGGAAAAGTGGAAGGTTTTAGACTGGCCAAGTCAATCAGCTGACCTTAACCCAACAGAGCTGCATTTCACCTCCTTAAGAGGAGAATGAAGGGAGAAACACCCCAAAACAAACAAGAAGTGAAAGAAGCTGCAGTAAAAGCCTGGAACAGCATCACAAATGAAGAATGCAACAGTTTGGTGATGTCGATGGGTCTCAGGCTTGAGGCAGTTATTGCAAGCAAGGGTTCTGCCACCAAATATTAAATGTTATTTACTTTTAGATTATTTGTTCCATTACTTTTGCTCACTTGAAAAATGGGTGAGTTCAAACAAAGGGTGGTTTGTCCTGAGTTGTTTAATACATCTAGATGTGAATACCAGGAAATAAAAGCTGGCATTCTGAACTCTTGTCTCATCTTTTGATCTTAAACCCAAATGTCTTCAGTGAACAACAAAAACAAAGGAATTTGCCTTACCGTTCCAATACTTTTGGAGGGGACTGTAAATCTAATCTATTATTATCATCAGCAGCACTGTCTGCAGCAGAGGTGGCATGGAGCTAAGCTGCTAACTAATCTGTGAAATGATGCTGGAAAGTTAAAGACACCTAGTAGTAAAGTTCTGTATTACCGGTCCGGTCTTGGGCTTAACATTGAACCGGTTTGAAAAGGTTTACACTGGACCAGCCCTGGGAAAAAGTACACAAATACTCGTGTGTACAAGCAGAACTGTTCTTCATACCATGCTCAACGTATGTGATGAAGCCCAGTGAGAGCAGAACCGCTCCCAGGTGAAAGCTCAGACCCTGAAGAAGACAACCAACACGTTAAGAGACAGTCAGCCAATCAGCATCCTCTCTCTCGCTCTGTGAAACATAAGCAGGTTATCAGACCGAATCAGTGTGTTGATCTCTTTCCTCCTCCTGGTGTTTACTCTGTGTCTGCTTCTCTTTTCAACTTCTCTTTCTTCAGCCACTGATTCGACTACTACTGAATGGACACTCTGCAGTCAATCAGAGTCGAGTATTCACCCAGACTGCAGTGTGACTATATGAACTTTCTGCTTCATGTTTTTACAGCAGCAGAAAAGGAAAAGCAGAAACTACGTGTCTGTAACTTGATTCCAGCTGTCGTTGACTATGAAACGAGTTAGCTTAGCCCTGATCACGCCAAACTCTATTCAGAAAACAAGCATTTTAAAAGATGTTTGCTGGTTGTCTTGCTGACACACCTGACAAATCATGAAGACATATTTTTAACACATCAGCATCATGATGTCATCATTTCAGCATCAGTTTGATCCGTTTATTCCAAATAAATCACAGCAAAATGTTTATGTTCGGTTCATACCGCTGCAGGAAACCAGATTAAGGGCCAATATTTGCAGGTTGCGTCTCTCACATGACGTCAGTGTAGTAATTCATGATATATATTATATGCAGTACTACATGCTCTGTACTACCCACAGTGTGTGTACTCACGTGCAGTAATGCGCTGGCTGTGTACGTCACCAGGATGGCTGGAAAAGTCCCCAGTTTCATGGCATTTCTAAAGACGTCTGAAGGACATGGAGGACGGAGCTCAGTAACCATGGCAACACAGAAATACAGGTTTACTGTAAAACTGATGAATGAGGTGAACGACCTAGAACCAGTCAGAACTATCGATTATGTTCTCGATTATTGATTCAGTCAAAAAAGTCAAATAACAAATAGTGAAAAGGGCCTTTCATCGTGTCTTCGATGTGTTCAGTATAAAAAGATATTAACTTTGGCTGGAAGCTGGAAGCAGCTGAGGCTTCAAGAGCCTGAGACTACTGACTGATCGATTGATCTTCCTATCACTTCCTGCAGGTTTTCTGGCTCTGGAGCTGTGGAGTCTGGATCTGTGGCTGCGGGTCACCTGCTGCCCCCGTGTTCCTGCTCGACACCCTCTGCTGCAACGACTATTGTTGCTAGTCTTATTGTTATTATTGTTATTATAATCATTAACATTACGATGGTTACCATTAACACTATTATAAATATCTGTACCATTTTTCATTTAGTCTATAGCAACATCACCTTTACTGTCTGTACCTCTGTGTGGATATTGTGTAGGCTGCCTCCCTCCCCTCTCTCTCTCCTCCTTACATCCCTCTCTCTCTCTCTCTTTCTCTCTCTCTCTCTCTCTCGCTCTCTCTCCCCTTCACCCCAACCGGTCGAGGCAGATGGCCGCCCACCCTGAGCCATGGTTCTGCTCGAGGTTTCTGCCTCTTAAAAGGAAGTTTTTCCTTGCCTCTGTCTCCTAGTGCTGCTCTTGGTGGGAACTGTTGGGCTTCTGTAAATATCATCACAGAGTACGGTCTAGACCTGCTCTTTTATGAAAAGCGCTGTGAGATAACTGTTGTTGTGATTTGGCGCTATATAAATAAAATTGAATTGAATTGAATTGAATTGAATTGATCTTTTGCTGATGGACAAAGCGTCCCCGGCAGCAGGTTGATCTGTGCTGGAGCGAGGACCAGACAGACAGGAGGACTTACAGGTCTTCAGCCATCGGGACATGGGGATGTTCCAGGACGTCACCACCAGAACCATGGAGCGAGGACACTCCACACTGAGAGGCTTCACCACACTCAGGTCCCTGAGGGCCAAGGGACAGGGATCAGGACAGGGGACAGAACATACAGACACAGGATGTCCTGTGTGGTCAGACTCACCACCTGACGTGGTCCTTGTCCTCGGAGCAGCCGGCTCCAGCCAGCATGCTGCTTCCTTCACTAAGGTGACCCACAAAGTAGTTACTGAAGTGGAAGGAGGCTGCGTTCTCATAGGCCTGCAGCCACCTGGGAACCACACACACACTTTAACACCTTCATCACGTCCACCTGAACCTGTCCTAAAGAAACCTATAACCTCCTAAACCAAAGTGTTAAAGGGAAACACAGGAAGTCCACATGGGGACTTCAGTCTGCTGATCACGTGACACAAGGGCCCGGTGCTTCTGCAGGTTTCACACCGTTCATGTCAGACAGCTGTTAGTGTTTTTGTTGAGTTTAGAAGCACAGCAGCACCTGAACGCCCCTCCAGGTTGAGAACCACTGATCTAAAGCCAACTGGTGCAGGTTTATTCTGCTGCGTCAGCTGCTGAGCACATGTCATAGCCTCATGGCGAAGTTAACACAGACCTGAAACCTCCCTGAACCACCTGCAGCAGGAAGTTTGGGCCCCGGGCCCTGAGGGAGCCCTACCTCTGAGTGACGGTGTTTCCCTGGATGGGGATGAACAGCGTGAAGAGGTACGGGGCAATGCAGGTGGAGACCAGCAAGCAGACCTGGCTCTTCAGGAGGCAGAGGGAGGAGCTCCTCAGCCACGCCCAGCTCTGAGGAACAAACCGCCATGTCACCACCACAGAGCTGGACACCAAGACCAGCAGGAAACACCAGATACTCACCAGCTTCCTGCCTTCAACGGCGCTCTGATACGTGGAGAAGCTGATCCAGGGGCCAAAGACCACGGTGCCCACAAAGAGGACGTACCCCAGGAACTCAGCCAAGGAGGGCAGGTGGGCCACGGCTCCTCTGTCCAGGTCAAACCCCAGAGAGATGGCCTTCATGGCCACCACCATCTGAGAGCCTGACACACACACACACACACACACACAAACCATCATCTTCATCACTGAGTACCTGTACATAATAATAGTGTATAAAATACTCCTTTGTTCCAGCAGCCTTTGGTTCACCTCACTGCTCTTTCTGTCTACTGTTGTTTTGTAGTTTGTGTTCTTGTTGTCCTGTTTGTTTATTCTGTGTGGGAACACTGAGAGTAAAGTCAAACCTGAGTTACGTCCCTCAGATGTGAACACAAACTTGCTGATTAAAGGGACCTGGATCACAAGTGTTCATTCTGATGTTTGGTTCAGGTGAAACAACATCAGCTTTATTACATGTATTTATTTTTATTAAAGGGGAACTTTCCTCATTCCTTCCTTTCTGATTCCGATTCCGATTCCTTTAATGTCTTCTGTGTTTTTTTGAGTCTGAGAAAACTAATCTCAGATTGAACAGATATGTTTACAGAAAGTAAAGTATCAAATCTTTATTTAGTTTAAAGGCTGACTTTTGGCTCCTGAGTGAAAGTTGAAGAAACCTGGTGGTTATTTGTGGTTAAAACTCTTCTTTCTGGTCAACCCTTGAAGCCAAACAGTGGATCACTTCACAAATCTGAGGCAGAATGTTCAAAACATGATAAAATCTTTGTCAACAAATATGCTCAAGTAAAATCTTTTTTCACTCCTTTTCCTCGACAAAATAAAGATCTTAATAAAAGGTCCTTATTCATGTACGATTCAAGTGAATAAAATGAGACATTTATTGAATATTTATTAAACATTTATTATACTGTTACTAAATAATATTATATTGCGATAATTATTGTTATGGTTTTATTGTCCAGCCCTAGTACAGCGGCTCACATGCTGTTGTTGAATCTTCCTGACCCTAAACCTTGTCCCTTTTGTATGAGCCTTGTTGCTGTCATTATTTTATCACTTTTTGTTATCATTTGTTTCAGCTCAGAACACTGAGAATGTTTTAGAGAAGCTTTGTGAAATATAATTAAATGCACAGTTGTGGAAACCGTCTAACATGCTCTCCACACCCCATGCTGTGAACTGTCCCCACTTCATTTTCACCATCGAACAGAGAAGCTGAGTCTCTCAGAACAACAACACTCTCAGAACCTCCTCTTCAGACCAGCGGCGCAGTTTTCACCTCTGATTCTGTTCCAGGTCGCCGTGTCGATTAGATGCAGCTCTCTGAAAGAAACATGAGAAAACAAGAATTCACTTAGCAAATTAATTAATTTACACTGAATGACAAGGACGGTCTGACTCCAACACAAACAAACAAACAAACAAACACGTCCCTGTGTGGTGCCACCACACCAACAGGAACCAGTTTCCTCACCCGGTGAGGAGGTAGACGAGGATGACCATGGAGAGGAAGAGGCCCCTGCTGCTGAAGTGTCGGCCTAGCAGCAGGACAAGGTAACAGAGCGCGCTCAGTAGCAGCACCCACAGCATGTGCAGCTCGAAGAACAGGAAGAGGGCGTACGTCCCCGCCAGCAGCGACACCACATGCTTCAGCGTGTACACGCCCTCTGAAACAGCAAGACATCGATCAATCATAGGGCTCCTGGTTTCTGATCAGGTGTGATCAGAAACCAGGAGCCCTAACCAGGAACCCTTGTTCCACCTCCTGCTGATCGGCTCACCCAGCCTGAAGCAGAGTCTGCAGACCAGGCAGAGCAGCAGCAGCTTCCAGACCTGCTGCAGGCCCTGCTGGACCGTGCTGAGCCCACAGGTCTCTGCCAGCTGCTGCAGGACCAGGAGCTGGAGGGCCACATCCATCCTGCAGATGCGCACACACACATTACAACTTTAATCAATGAGATTATGATCATCTTCTCCAGAACTACAGCGAAATCGAGCTTTATGGGATTAATGTGATCAAGTTCAATAAAACAGATCTTCAGATCAGGACTGCAGCTAACAATCACTTTCATTATTGATTAATGTGATGAGATTAACGTTAGCTTTATTTATACAGGTCAAAAAATTTACTTTATTTACCTAAAGCCCTAAAAACATGATCAATAAGGTGTAAACACATGCCGATCACAGGTGACTCCCAAACATGTAAAGACCTGCTGATATCAGCTATTGATGAGCAGAACAAACCTTCAGCCAGGTGTTCCTAATAATCTGGACAAATCGACACCGTCTCAGTCACTGAGCAAACTTTAACTCAGCTACCACGTAACGTCACGTCAAGCCTGCTGACGTCACCGTGTTAACCAGTCGTGTTGAGCGTGAAGTTCACCTGCTGTAAGCGTCAGCTAGCTGTGAAGCTAACCCTGTGAAGAGGAGCAGGTCCGGACCGGATCAGAACCTCAGAACCACCAACAGAACCTGGCTGCAGGATACCAACAATTACCGCTCCTCCTTCTTCTTCTGCGCTTTCTGCTCCCCTCTTTTTCTTTTTCTTCTTCTTCTTCTTCACCGAGTTTATTGTTACCGCCACCAACTGGACGGAAGTATTCAGCAGCACCGGAAGCTGCACGACGCTGAAGTTAGCTTCCGATTCGGCAGTTTAGGGGAAAGTTAAGTGAAAGTTAATAGAGGCTAAAGTTTCAATCAAACATAGTTGGGTAGTTGACAAATAGGCAGTAAAAAACTTTACAAAAATACTTTCTTGTAAAACACCATTTTTAAAGAAAAAACATATATTTCTGTTGTGTAAAATCTGATTTTTAAGAAAATATAAGGGGTCACTAATTTAGTTCATTCTTTCCCTGTTTGTTTTTTTTTTTAACATTTTAGCTGAACTGCACTGTAAATGTGTCCTATGGTGTGACATAACAAAATTAAGAAAAAAAAATCTTATACAAATATATACAAACAAACATGAAAGAGATTTATCTTAATTGTAAGACACTTTTTTCATATACTGTTATATATAAATAAAATAAAAAAATAAAAGTGAGTTAGACTTTGATGTCATCTTTTCAAAACTGTTGAAAGTAAAAAAAAAATACAAATTTATGATGCATAATGACTCTCCCCTAATGAAGTACTGAACTGTTTTTATTAAAGATAATTTGAGATAAACGCACATTTTTGGCTCTTTTATGTATTTATGTCAATAATGGTAGTTATTGCATTGTCCTCTTGGTGTGACAGTCACAGGTGTCGCACCAAAAGATGTTTCAGCCTTTTTGTGCCAGTTAATAACCATGCTATACCTGGCTAACCTGCCATTAGCAGTTAGCAGCACACATTACCTATATTTTCTATAATTATGTACTTTAACATACAGTTTGAATTTAAATATATAATTTAGGCCTGTCATACCAAAGGACAAAAAATTTTAACACTTTTATAGTGGTTCGGAAAAAGCTAAATATTTGAACAAATCTGAGACACAAACTTAGCATGGTCACATCATGGGCTTCACATGGGGCTTCAGTACCATTAACTTTAATGGGGTCTTTCAACTAAATAAGGTTTTCTATTGTATTCCTCACTTAATTATTTGTTGGCTGGGAACTGGAGGGTTTCTGGTTCAAATCCAGCTCATAACAGAGTTGCGGAGTGCGGACTGGTAGCTGGAGAGGTGCCAGTTCACTTCCTGGGCACTGCTGAAGGAGGCCTTGAGCAAGCTCCTGAACCCCCAACTGCTCGGGGCGCCGCACTGAGTGGCAGTCCCCTCATTCTGACATCTCTCCGTGGGTTGCTATGGGTCCTGTTTGTGCATGTGTGTGTATTTCCGACCTGTGTGTAAAAATACTAACACAATAACAGAGTGAAAACATTGAGTTTCCCCTCACGGGATTAAATAAAGAATTTCTTCTAATAACGCTGTTTTTACAACAACAGGTCCTTGTAAAACAAATAAAGGTTTAACCATTTACTGCACTTCAAATCATGACAAAATAATTTTTATAAATTTTAATCTTCTGTGACAGTGAAATTGCCTTGTCACTTCAACAACCCAGTTTCAGATTTGTGAAACCTTTATTCTAGGAAGGATTTCACTGCTTTTCTCACATGTAGACCACATTAGTGCAGGTCCAGATCCAATACCACTATACCTAGAGCTCTCAAATTTGAACCAGATTATTCCTCAGAGGTTTAAGGTTTCAATCAAACATAGTTTCAGATTTGTGAAAATTAGAGATTCCGACTGTACACTGAGCTAAGCTAATGAAGCTAAGCTAGCGAAGCTAAGCTACAGCGAGTGAATCAGAATCTGAATCAGATTTATTGCCAGGTACATTTTCACATACAAGGAATCTGCCTTGGTATATTTGGTGCTTAACACAAGAACATCAATATAGAAAAACTAAAAAAGGTACAACTACATTTATTCATTTCAGTTGACGCTTTTATCCAAAGCGACTTACAATTGCTATACATGGCAGAGCAACTAGGGGTTAAGTGTCTTGTTCAGGGACACAATGGTGGATGGGTCATAGTGGTGAGTTGAACCTGGGTCTCTCACACCAAAGGCATGTGTCTTATCCATTGCGCCACCACATAAAACTAATAATACTTTCATACTCACAAAAGGACTGCAAAACAATATGCAGGATAATTACCAAGGAATGTGCAATAATTCACAGTATGAGCATTAAAGTAGCCTATTAGTGCAAGTACACGTGTGGGGTCAGGTGTGATGGTGTGGGGGGGCCTGAGAGTCAGTGACAGTGGGGGCCCCGGGCCTTACTGAGGCTAACCCTAACCCTTGCCCTCGCTGCAGACGGAAAGGAAGTGTTCTTGTGGCGTGAGGTAGGCCTCGGTATAATAAGGTAGGCCTATAGGCCTACCGATTTAATTTCATAAGAACTATGAAATTATACAATACCGTTTATACCAATATAGTTTGATGTTGAGTTAATGAATATGTTTCTGTAAAGTCCTGCCAGCGTTTGCTCCTCTCTCTCTCCCTCACGGCGCAGCCCCGCCCCTCTGCGTGGTCTGCACGCAGCTGTCTACTTACAAACTCTCAACAACATGGAGGGAGACACAGTGCTGAAGACCAGGGCCCTGTTTCAGAAAGCGGGTTTAGTGAAAATTCTGAGTATGTTAAGCCCGAGATGAGGGAAGAGAGAGCGAGATCAGATAATCCCTAGATCAGTAACTCTGGCAACTGATGCTGTGAACCTAACCTCCTCAGGAAGAAAACCGTCAGTTTCTCTCTGACTCCTCCCCTCCTGCGGAGCCTGAGGCAGCTGCCTGACACACCGTTTCATTTCCTCATTCATTCTGTCGATATCAAAGCACATATCTGAGAGCATTTACATCTTTGAAAACTTTAAAATCCTGGTTAGATAGACTATTAGTTTTTTTACCCAAACATGATCTTGAACATGACCGCTTTATGATCAATCTGTCATCGATGTAAGGACAGATTTCCGCACATCGTGGATTTATCCTCAGCACAGAAAACAATCTGTGTCCGTCTTTAGGTTAACGTTGCGACTCTGTGGACAGTTGCACTGAAAACACTTACTGTGGGCTAAATTACTGCAGTAATCACTGTTAAATATGTAACCTAGAAAACTGATCAATGAACAGTAATCTTTCATATTGTAGTCGCACTGATCGGAACATTCCTATCGTAGTTATCATAGGCCTACTGGAGATAACGTGAGTATTTCTGAGTGAGGATGACTGTGGTGCAGCTAAACAGGCCTAACTAAGGTTTAAAAGTGAGTTTTTCATTATTAGGCCAACTTGTTGACAGTCTGAATGTGTTTTGACAGCATTACTAAAATACGAAATGAGCAAGATTTTATTAATGTAAAATAGACATCAAAATCTTTAACTTATAGACACATTTTCCACTGCAAAAAATAATTAGGCTAATAGGCTAACCTGCTGGGTGTGACTGTGACTTTACAATCACAGGTTCACAAGTAAACTGTGTCTTATATTTGATTTATACCTATTTTCATAATTAGGTAGCCACCGGCATTTAGTCCCGTCTGGTTACAGCTTAATAAATGTAGCCTTCCTATTTAGAATCGAATGTAATGGGCTGTAGCACTTTATCATTCATTAAGGAAAGTCCAGAGTTTGTTAAACCTGCTTTCTGAAACAGGGCTCCGGCTTGTAAAAAGAAAAAGATAACAATTCAGTCAGTGTTTCCCACACATACGCTTTACTTCGGCGGCCGCCCAGAATAGGCGACACACTGTAGCATTTATCAGAGAAACAAAGTGATTATGTTACAAGTAGCGACACGGTGGATATTTTACATGAGCGGACCAGGTCAAGTGACAGTGAACACACCAGTCAGATGTTATTCATTAGCTACCACATTGGTTTTGTTTTGATAGGCTACGTCGTCAACAGGCCTCCTCAACCTGCGGCACAGCTGCTGCTGTGAGCGGAACCACGGATAGAAAAGTCCTGAAGTTCTGGGGGGGTTTTCCGGCGATTTTATACAATACCCAAGTTTCCATCCAATTGTTATGCGTCCAATTGTCAGCGTACTTTTGAAATGTTGCAAAAAAGAAAGTTGCAAATAAACCAGGCTACGGCCAGCGTAGTTACATCAGTAGTTGACGTTACACATGGCTGTAATAAACAAGATGTCCTCTTGACAAATTTTTCTGGAATTCTCAGTTTGCCAGTATTAATTGGTGTAAGGCATGGCTTGATCCTTTTAGATTCTGTATTACAAAGTTAGAGAATTACATTTGAAAATTTTGCATAAAATATTGACTATCTAACCAACATGCTTATCTCAAAATTCCTACTTGTTGATAACAATTGCACCTTTTGTAGAACAGAACAAAAAACTTTAAATCATCTTTTCTATGGTTGTTCATTCTGTATCAAATTCTGGAGGGACTTTGAGAATTACATATATTCTAAAACAACACATGCAATCACAGTTGAAGGGGAAAATGTCATTAGCTACTTTGAATGTACTTTATGTACCATTGTGAATCTCTTTATTTTGTTGGGGAAGTTTCATATTCACAAAGCTAAGTGCTCTAATAAGGCCCCATCCACACTACTCCGCTTTAGTTTACAAACGAATACGATCTCCGTCCACACCAGCATTTCCATTCAGGTGCACTGGGCATGCGTGTGCCAGTGTAAACATGAAGCAGATGGTCTATTCGTAGTTACAGAAGATTTGGCGAAAGAATAAATAAATAGGCTACAGACAAAGCACCAGTTTTTTTTTGTTGCATGGATCAATAACGAGCTGGGACTGTTACTGAATGTAACACAGGAGTGTGGCATCAGAAAACAGACTGGGACTTGTTGCAAAGTAAACGGCGGCATGCACAGTGCTCTGTGATTGGTCGGCTGGGTAGTAATGCCTCCGAGCCGACCGGAAGTAACCCACCCTTTAAAGTAACATTTACTAGCGGCCAAAACGGCGGCAGTGAATCAATATATTTGACCCGAGCGAAATGACTCGTTTCACTATCAGAATGTGATCCATTCAGTCGGTAACATTTGAAAAGGCCACACCAGCCGCACGTTTACAATTTTACCCCCATTTACGTTAGCGGAGCGCTAAACCGGAAGTCAGCCTGCTCGGCCGGCAAAAGTCAACCCAGTGGACGCTGTAGCGCTACTGCCGACTAGCGTTTGGGGGTGTAATTGCAGAATGACGGACACAACTACGCACAAGTATAAATGCACGGCTACGTGCGTAAGGTACGCACGTAGCCCCTACGCAGGAGTATAAATGGGCCTTTAGGCCCCATCCACACTACTGCGTTTACCCCATGTTTTAAAGTAGGCTATTCTTAATCGAAATTGATATGTACTTTGAGTCTCTTAAACTTGCGATAGGCCTACGTCAAAATGCGCATTAAAAAACGTTGATAGAAACACGGTTAATGTAGCCTTCTACTGACCGGAGACGGAAAGAGGCGGGGCACTCTGACGTGTTTGCAGCAGACGACGTTAGGTCTGTGAGTGTGAAGAGAACTGAAGAAGGCAGATTGAATAAGTGAGTGACACTTAAGATGGAGAATGAAGTGTAGCCTAATTAAAACGGTGAAATAAGAAACAAGCTAAGTTACTACAAATAGTGAAAACATGCTCCCAGAAAGCATGATGTGTGTCTGTGTGTGAGATTTACCAACTACAAGTATCAGATTTGTCACGCAGGTTAAATATTACATTGGAATTTAGTGAGAATGTCACAGAACTGTTCCAATGTCCTGTCTTGTTAGAAAAAAACTGTGAGGATGAGGACAAAGTTAGAAAGTTACAATACCGTTTATACCGATATAGTTTGATGTTAATTAATATGTTTCTGTAAAGTCCTGCCAGCGTTTGCTCCTCTCTCTCTCTCCCTCAGGGCGCAGCAAACAAAGTCAGAGAATTACACTTATCTCCAAATTCATGCTTGTTGATAACAATTGCCCCGTTATTGTTGCTATATCTAAAGCAACACAATCACTGTGGAAGGGAAAAGTCCTTAGCTACCTCAGTGTAAAGGTCTTTGTTAAGATTGAAGATTTATTTATTTATAAGGACACAGGATAATCAGCATTACTGTAAATGTGCAAGCGTTAGCTAGCTGGCTAATCTTAAAGTGCAGTCCTTTGGCAAGATGTTTTGAAACCTTCAAAATGATAAAAATGTACAGAACAAGGACAACACCATAAACACAGCAACAAAACACAAATTCTCCAAACACAACTCAAGCTATGTGGAGCAACCGGAAACAGTAAAACATCAGTACAGTAATAAAGACAACAAACACCATTTCAACACAGATAGCCATGCAACCAACAAGAAGCAACAACACACATCCATCTTTAGCTACATGTGGACATGCAGGACAACACTAAACAGTACACATGAGTGAATTAAAGCAATTATGTTGATCTTACTAAAAATAGTTATAAGATACACTGAGGGGTTAATAAAATGACAATATACATAAGACAAACACAGAGTTTCAAGAAGGCATTATGGAAGAACACACCAGACTGTTATACTACTATATAAAATACTAGTAGATATTCCATACATACCCAAGTCATGCAAAGCTGGCCACTTGGCAACAGAGGACATGAGGCATGTTAGCAGCAGGTTAAACAGCAACAACAACGATGATAATAACATATGCAATGTACTATTTAGTTTAGAAATATTCACATGTTTGACTTTTCAAAAGCCAGGCCTTGAGACTTTGTGTGAAGGTATGGTAGGTAGTACAGGTTCTTATTTCAGTTGGTAGGGTGTTCCACAATTCAGAAGCTCTTCCAGAAAAACATGATTGGCTCCTGAAAGGGATACACAGCGCCCTCTTTGAGCTGATCTTCTAATTTTTATTTTTCTGCTTAATAAAAGTACCACGTGGTGGAGGAGCTTTTTCTTTTAGAATCTTAAACATCAGACAGATGTCACTGTATTTTATTACATTTTCCCAACTAAGGATTTCATATTTGCTCAAGATATTGCAATGGTGGTAAGTACTGGGTTTTCTAACACTTTGTGAGCCTACTTGTGATAATCATTGCATACATATGTAATGTTGCTGCTGTAGTTGTTGTTGCAGTTTTTCATTCATCTAAAATTGACCAGGTTGTATTTGGTTATTTGCATTACTTTATTCATTTGTTTTTTGAAGCATAAGGTGGAGACAAGGATAATACCGAGATATTTAACGAGAGACTACTTCATTGATACAGTATCTCACAAAAGTGAGTACTTCTTTTCATGTGACAACACTGAAGAAATGACTCTTAGCTACAGTGTAAAGTAGTGAGTGTACAGCTTGTATAACAGTGTATATTTACTGTCCCCTCAAAATAACACAACACACAGCTGTTAATGTCTAAACCGCTGGCAACAAAAGTGAGGACACCCCTAAGAGAAAATGTCTAAGTAGTATTTGTATACTTTCATAAATGCACCAAAACATTGCAGATAAAAATGCAAAGTTAAAGCAGCCTGTAGGCCTCCTGCAGCCACCTCATGGTGAAACGTGAATGAATGCTCACTCAGACCTGTTAGTGATCTTGTGTTGTATGTTATGTTTTATTATATGTCATGTTGTGTTGTAAATGTCGTTTCCTCGTGACCCTTTTTGCCTGGAGCATCAGTGTTTCTCCCTTTGGGGGTCAGAATCAGCTTTATTGACTATGTATGTGAGTGAACACATGAGGAATCTGACTCTGGTTTTTCGTTGCTCTCAATGTTTCAAACAGTTCCAAGAATTTTCAGGAGGACAGAAATAGACATACAGCTAAGGACAAAAAGCTGAAACAGCCTTTTGTCCTGTTCTTATTGGCTGATCTAGGATCCAGAAACAAAACTGTGCTCTCTGATTGGCTGGTTTCAGGGGGCAGCTGTACTGTGACTGGCTGATGAGTTTGTCCCAGCTGGTTCAGTGAGTTAATCGTTGGTAGGCTATGTAGTAGCAGCCTATTATAGTATTATACTAGCCTATTAGTACTTCCTTATGACTTTACTACATGTGCAGTATTCCGCTGCTGTTAAGGGACCGGCTGTTTCTTTGACCTGAGAAGTGTGTTTGGTGAGATCCTCCTCCACTCCCCGTCCTCTTTAGGCTAAATCCTGACCCCCAGCCCAGGGCCCGGGCCCCGGCAGCCCAGCCCAGGCAGCGGGGCGGCCCCTTGGTGAGCTGCGGCCGGCTGCAGCTCCACGGTGCTCCGGCAGGAGGCAGTGCAGCGGGGCTCCTGTCCATGGTGCTGAAGATTCTGCAGGCTCTGTCCGGGGTGCTGAACGGCTGCGGTTGCTGGGCTCGGTCTGAGGCTGCTGTCACACTCGTCCGGTCCCCTGTGGTCAAGTGGTCCACCGTGATCGTCGTCTCTGTGCAGTCGGACAGTGAGCGTGTATCTGCCGGGCCGGAGGGGGAAGGGAGGCGGAAGGTAAGGCTTTATGTCTCCGTGACAAAGAGCGTGAAGCGTTCAACGGTATTTTCCGGGCCTCGGCCGCAGCTTCACGGTGATCCGAGCAGGGGGGCCGTGATGAAACGGGAGGTGGACCTCAGCTGATTTCTGACGGGTGCCTTTGTGGAGGAGAACTGAGGCTCGGTCCGACAGCCGGGCTCGTTAACCCGATTATTAGTGTCGCTCGGTGTCCAGGCTCTGGTAATGGCGGCCCGGTGTCGGTACAGTCAGGAACGTTAACAGATGAGCGCCGGTGGCTTTTGTGTGTTAGTGTTTGTCCCTGTGCCAGAACTGAGAGGAGGCCTTGTCCAGGCCGGCCTGCAGCCCTGCGGGAGGTTCTGTAAACCGAGTTCGGCAGAGACCCTGCAGATCACACAGCTCTGTATATGGACGGGCCTTGTTTTTATTTATTTACACCTTTAATTAAAACAACATTATTGTTTATTATTTCTCTGTAGGCTATAATATGTCATTATATGTTTTTATTACGTTCTGTTAGTGACCCCTTCGAGCAGCATGTCAGTATCATATAAGCTATCTGCTGAGATTGCTATTGTTTTCTGTTATTTGGATTTCTGTTGAAATATAATAATAAGACAAAGCTTTGATTTCATTTTTATTATTAGGATGTTTGAGTTTTAAAGCGTTGAACCAGTTCAATCTGTTAATCCTTCACTTCTCAAAATACCTCAAACATCCAGGAACAAAGAGAAACCACAGGACATGATGATATTTATTCTACTACCGTTATATTTTCTTAATTTAGGTCTACTACATGAAAGGACCAGAGCTACTCCCAGTCTGCTTCACCAGGCAGCCATTTTATTTTCCATCACTCTGTTGGACTAAAGGTAGTAAAGTCCGGCTGTACTGCGTCTAAATACTGCGACCAGCTCAGGGGACTTTAAAGTCCTCCCAGGAAGGCGGTAAAGTCCGGCTGTACTGCGTCTAAATACTGCGACCAGCTCAGGGGACTTTAAAGTCCTCCCAGGAAGGCGGTAAAGTCCGGCTGTACTGCGTCTAAATACTGCGACCAGCTCAGGGTACTTTAAAGTCCTCCCAGGAAGGCGGTAAAGTCCGGCTGTACTGCGTCTAAATACTGCGACCAGCTCAGGGTACTTTAAAGTCCTCCCAGGAAGGCGGTAAAGTCCGGCTGTACTGCGTCTAAATACTGCGACCAGCTCAGGGGACTTTAAAGTCCTCCCAGGAAGGCGGTAAAGTCCGGCTGTACTGCGTCTAAATACTGCGACCAGCTCAGGGGACTTTAAAGTCCTCCCAGGAAGGCGGTAAAGTCCGGCTGTACTGCGTCTAAATACTGCGACCAGCTCAGAGAACTTTAAACTCCTCACAGGTTCTGAACTCCCAAGGTCTTCAGTCGACAGCTCACAGTGAAGAAAAATCCAGCAGAAATGAGTTCAGAGGTCAGAAACTGAGGCAGGTGGACCGAGTGAGAGCCAATCAGAGAGGAGAGCCTCAGCATCAAGGTACCTGTCTGTCTTTACCTGTTTGTCTGTCTGTCTGCACGTCATCATTTATGAATCGTCTCTCTGTTCTTCAGATGAGCCAAGAGACTTCAGAGACACGGACCCGAACCCGCTCCAAAGGCATCCGGGGTCAGTACTCACACACACTAAAGCATCATGGCCGCCATGCTTCAGCTCTCTCATGACTTTATTTCTGACCCTCATGCTGCTTCCCCCTCAGCGCCGTCAGATCTTGTGGGACAAGAGATGAAGCCGGAGTTCAGGTTGGTGATTTCTGCTTCAATACAAGATGATTACAAAGTATGAAGTGTGTAAGTGTATGTTTGTCTCACTGCGTGTCAGCAGCAGCTGTCCTACCCCTGGATGTGACGGCAAAGGCCACGTCAGTGGAAGATACTCCCGACACAGAAGGTAGGAGTCACACCATACATCATCACACTGTCCACAAACTAAGCATGAGTGAATAACCATAAATCCAAACCCTGGTGAAACACTGGTGAGACAATGAACTGCAAACAAGACAATAGTGAGACTTAAAAACCCAAGGGGGTGGAGATAACGAGACACAGGTGAAACATATCAGGGTAGATCCAAACAATCAATCCAGAAACACAAGGACAGGAAGCAAAACCAGACACTGACACCAGGGACAGAACAACTTCAAAATAAAATTAAAGCTGCAAGCAGCGTTGGGCGGGCCCTCTCACGTGTAGCGCGTCGAGGTGTGAGGTGGCCGCGTTGCAGATTCTGGAGCTCTGCCAGTGTGGCTGTGAATTTGCCACAGGCTTCGGACACTGCACAAACGTGTTAATCATCACTTCCGGTGTTCCCTTTGTGGCGCTACATAGCACTTTGCACTACGACTACAACTGAACATGTGGATGTGTTCGGGGCGGGACTGTTATGAAGCACGTACAGTTTGGTGCAGATGTGAGCATGTACACTGAAGTTAAAACAACTTCCTCTTTTGACAACACACTGGTAATAACCGTTTGAATAAATTTTCATCTTCAATGCCTTTAGAAGGCACAGCAGAAATTTGAAGTCGGTCGGACTAAATCCCTAGGAGGAGTTCGTTAAAGTACGGAGTGTGTAAATCATCCAAAAATCACCATAAAATTTAAAGTTGGGTTTAGGGCATCGCTCCAAGAGGCGTTTTTGTACATCTGGAGATGATACATGTGCCACAGAAATTTCGTACATGTAGGTAAAACACACCACGGGGGCTGCTTCGTTGAAGATCACGTCCTGTTGCCAGTAGGTGGTGCTATGACTATGGGTGAATGTTTGCATGTACTGTACACGTTCAAGGCGGGACTCTTCTGAAACATGTAAAGTGTGGTACATATCTGAGCATGTACAGTAAAGTTAGAACAACTTCCTGTGTCATGGCGAAGCATGGCACTTCACCACCACGCCACCGCCAAGCCGTTAACCGAAAATTCACAAATTTTACAACATGGCTTCATCAATGCATTAAGGGTTTTCTGGGACAGTTTTGAAGTTGATACGTCCAACCTGCTAGGAGTAGTACATTACAGCTTAAAACGTGTCACTTCCTGTTGCCAGCAGGTGGCGCTATGACTTTGAGTGAATATTGGCATATGGATGTGTTCAGGGCGGGATCCTTATTATACATGTAAAATTTGGTGCAGATGTCAGCATGTAGACTGAAGTTACAACAACTTCCTGTGTCATGGCGAAGAGTTGATCTTTGACGCCACGCCACGGACACACCCATCGACGAAAACTCACAGATAGCGCAACTTTTCATCGTCATTGCCTTTAGAATGCACAGTAGAAAATTGAAGTTGATTAATTCCCTAGGAGGAGTTGTAAGGAGGACCTTATAAAAGGCTATAAATGGGCTGTAATTGCACAATCAAAATGGCTGTCTGATTTCGGGTATTGCTCCAGGAGACTTTTTTTGTGCTGCATCTTTGAAAGGACACTTCCTGATTCCAATTTTTACCTGTAGATGTGTTCAGGGCGTGACCCTTATCAAATGTGTGAAATTTGGTAGAGATATGAGCATGTACAGTTAAGTTGCAACAACTTCCTGTGTCATGGCAAAGCATCGAACTTTGACGCCACGCCAAGGAAACACCGTTATCCGAAAACTCACAAGATTCACAACATAGAATCATCAATGTCTTAAGGCTCTTCTGAGGTGAGGCAAATATGTTGGGATTAGTACATAACGGCGTAAAACTTGACACTTCCTGTTGCCAGGAGGTGGCGCTATGACCATGGGTGAATGTTGGCATGTACATGTGCTCAGGGCATGTGTGTTCAGTTCCTTATTTTGTGTGTAAGTATCAGCATAGCGTTAGTTCAGGCAGAGAAACAAAGTCCAGCTCAGCTCACAGTCCCAGCACATCAGCTGATAGCAGCCATCTTAAAGCAGCTGCATCAGCTGACAGCTCAGCTGACTCCTCTCTTAGCATCCATTGGCAAATTCCATTCAAAGTTCCCTATTTCTATTTCTGTACTTTCAATACAAATTTCCCTTCGGGGACAAAAAAGTATATCTTATCTTCAAGCTGCTCTAGCCTGCCTACCCTATCTGCTTCCTCTGCTCCGCTCTATACCTGGGGGTCTCTGCTGCTGCTCTACACATACAGTCAAACTTAACTTACTGCGGCACAAATATCCGTTTCTTTGATGAAAATTGTCCTGACTGAAATTTGTTTTTGTTTTTGCAACTGATGTAACAAAGACACATGTTAATAACATCTAGCAGCTGCAGCATTCATCACAGCTTACAGTGTAAAGGGTTAGCATGTTGCATGTTAGCCTTCACTAACGTCCTGTCTCCTTAGTGCGCTTGGATGCCCCATTGTGAAGAAGAGGAAGCTGGAGGAGGCTGAAGCCGAGGAGAACCAGTCTGCTCCCAAGAGGAGGAACCAGCCGGCCAAACAGGCAGCCGATGAAGGCTTCTCCGCAGACAGCGATGCAGCAGAAGAGGAGGAAGAGGAGGAGGAAGAGCCCAAAGAGAAGAAGCAAGAACAAACAAAAAGTGAGTGAAACCAAACCAGAAACATTACTGTGTCAAACTGTCATTCCAGCACAGCAGCAGGCAGAACAAGAACCAGAACCAGAACGAGTGGGTCCGGTAACTCCCCATAAAAGTGGGATTCTTCACTTGCCAGTCACCCAGACTGCAGGCTGTGAGGCTGTGTTTGTTATGATGTTTCGTGCTTTCCTAAGGCACGTGTGGTCAACTCCTTGCAAGGAAGACTCGCTCCACTTCAGCTCCATCGATTTGTATGGGGGGAGTGAACCCCCCCTCTTCAGTTTCCTGAAATCTACGATCATTTTATTAGTCTTGCTGACACTGACAGAGACGTTGTTGTCCTGGCACCGTCTTACCAAGTCACTTACTTCCTCTGTGGAAGCGATCTCATTGTTGTTGGAGATGAGACCCAGGATGGTGGTGTCATCTGTAAACTTGATGATGACGTTGGAGCTGTGTGTGGCCACACAGTCGTATGTGAAGAGGGTGTACAGGGTGGTTCTGAGTACGCAGCCCTGGGGGCCCTGAGGCTCAGAGTCAGTGCAGAGGAAATGAGATTGCCAGTTCTCACCACTTAGAGTCTGCTCGTCAGGAAGTCCGGGATCCTGTTGAAGAGGGAGGCAAGACAAGTTTATTTGTATAGCACATTTCAACAACAAGTCAATTCAAAGTGCTTTAGGTCTGGATGGTTCATAAGGAAGCAGAAGATCATAAATGTATTTTGGCCCTAAACTATTTAGTGCTTTATAAACTAACAGCAGGATTTTGAAATCAGTTCTCTGACAGACAGGAAGCCAATGTAAAGACCTCAGAACTGGAGTGATGTGAACCAGTTTAGTACTGTGCCAGAAAGTCCAACCCATTTTTCAAATCTGTCTAGTAATATGTTGTGGTTGACCGTGTCAAATGCAGCACTGAGATCCAATAATACTAAGACTGAAATTCTGCCACTCTCAGGTAGCTTTTTAGACCCAGGATCCTGAGCTTGGGAACAAGGTTAGAAGGGACAGTAGCTGAGCTGTAGTCCACATACAGCATCCTCACAAATGTGTTGATGGCATCTTCTGTAGATCTGTTGGGTCGGTGTGCAAGTTTAGGGGGGCCGAGGTGTCAGGAAGAAAGGATCAGATGTGAATTCTGACCAACTGCTCAAAGCATTTCATGGTCCAGGTCCTCAGCTAGCCTCACAGAAGGAATGGTGTGGGTTTCCTCAAACCATGCATAAAAAGTGTTGAGTTCGTCAGAGAGAGAGGCGGTGGGTTGGCCATCAAGGATGTTTCTCTCTTTATAGTTTGTGATGTGTCGTAGTCTACACAACATGCTTCTGGGGTCAGAGCTGTGGTACTCGGACTCCAATTTGTCCCCTTGGTCCAGTTTTGCATCTCTGATGTCTTTCCGTAAGTCATGGACTTCCTCTGAGTCTCCAGGTCCCCAAAGCTATAGACGTGCTCTGAGCTTGGCACGGACAGGAAGGACCTAACATTTACTCTTAGGATGACATCATCAGTGCACTCGACTATATGTGTTGACAGGGTCTGTGTATTCATTAATGTCTCCATTACCTGCAGCACAGCAGAGTGGTGATGGATTCCAGTCCCAAGAACCAAAGCCATAGCCACTTCGTAATTGTGAATAACAAGTGTCTGTTCACCACTGGTAGGATAGTTTATGTTCTGGTCTGGGAAGACTTTCCTAATATTAGCCCTGTTGGAGTGACCAACAGCGGAACTAATTCCAGAGGAAGGTAGAAGTGCCATACTCTTATAGTTAGAAACTCCAGGTCTGGTGAGCATTGTGCTGAAATAACTGCAACATCTGAACCCCAGAAACAGTTGACCCCTCATGCAGACCCCTCTGCCTCTTTAGTTGTGTCCTGCCGGTAGATTGAGAAACCAGCTGGGGTAACGGCCACGTCAGGCACCACAGGATCTAGCCAGGTCTCAGTAAAAGCCAGCACACAGCAGTTTGCAATGTCCCGCTGGAAGTTAATCCGTGTGTGTAGTTTGTTTTATTGTCCAGGGATTGTAGTTGTGAGTAAAATGCTGGGTAACAGTGGGTTGCAGTTTTTTTTCCGAGATCTCTTCTTTCTTCTTTCTCCTGCTATGGTTTGTAAATGGAGCAGAGGTAGAACAAAAGAGTCCCAGCACATTCCATGGTAAGTTGTAGAAAAGTCTGTGTCCAGTGGAGAGTGGATTTCTAAAAGTGCAGCCCTGACTGTGTAGAGACAACAAACACAAACAAATTTGTGACAATTCATGTGTACTTTGAATCCACAGCAGAAGGCTCAGCGGTGACAACCGAGGACACAGAAACAAAGGTTTGTCCTCCGGCTGAAGACTGCAAGAACAAAAGGGTCACCTCAGAGACTGAGAATGAAACTGAGAATGAAACTGAGAATGAAACTGAGAATGAAACTGAAAGTGAGGAAACGAGTGAGGAAGTGAAGCTGGAAACGCTCACTGAGGATTATCAGCAGGAGGAAACAGGGCTGAAGGAGGAGGAGCACGAAGTAAATCCGTTGGTGACAAAGGACCAGCCAGCAAAGCAACCTGAAGAAGAACCTTTGGTTACTGAGCTTAAAGAGACAAAAGAGGAGGCAGAGGAGGAGGAAGAAGAAGAAAAAGAAGAGGAAGAGCTTCAAGAGAATATTGTAGAGAGACAGATGATGAGCCAGGAAAACTCTGATCACCAGTACTCCAGTGGAGATTACAACCATCACGCCAAAGAATCAACTGAGCCGCAGAGTAAGAGGGAGGAACAGGAGGAGGAGGAGGAGGAAGAGGAGCAAGAAGAAGAAGAAGAGGAGGAGGAGGAGGAGGAAGAGGTGAGGGAGGTCCATCAAGAGGTGGACACTCCTTACACTTTGAGTCCACACACTCAGGGATCTGAAGCAGAGGTGTCACTCAGGGAAGAAAAGGTCATGACTGAGGAAGAGGGGGAAGAAGAAGAACAGGAGGAGGAAAGAGAGGAGGAGGAGGACGAGCAGCAGGGGAAGGAAGCAGGTGAGGTGGTGGAGGAGGAAGAGGAGGACCGAGACTCCAGCAAAGCCTCTCCGACCACAGTGGTTATAGAAGTCCGCTCTGAGGAGGATGATGATGAGGACGAAGATGAGGAGGAGGAAGAGGAGGACGAAGAGGAGGAGGAGGAGGAGGAGGAGGAAGGAGAGGAGCAGGATCGTGTCTCAGAGGGCTCAGGAATCACGGATGACTCAGAGAACTGGGATATGACTCGGGGGAACCTGGGGCTCCTGGAGCAGGCCATCGCCCTGAAGGCGGAGGAGGTGAAGGGGGGTCAGGAGGCCCGCAGCTCCCCGGACTACCACCCATACAGCACCTCCAGCCGGGGCTCCGAGCCTTCCACTGCTGCCGCCGCCCGCCGCATCGGCCACTACAGCAAAGGTACACTTTCTGTTCCTACAGTTCCTGTCTTTGGTGTCTCAGATTAGATTGGAAACAGTCTCAGTCCAGTTATTCGTGTGTTAAATTCATTACTGACACCATCTGAAACCCTCCTTCCTGTATGCAGAGAAGAAGGAAGTCAAGTGTCCGACCCCGGGCTGTGATGGGACAGGTCATGTGACTGGGCTGTACCCTCACCACCGCAGTCTGTCTGGATGTCCTCACAAAGACAGAATCCCTCCAGAGAGTGAGTACACATCAGCTGTCAGACAGCTAAAGTTTTTACTACCAGCATTATTTTTACTACTAATACCAATACTACTTCCTTCTGTTATACTAATACTACTACTTATATTGCTACTACTGCATTTTCCATAAATACTCACCAACTAAACAGACTGACCCGAGTGTGTGTCTGCTGTGTGTCTGTAGTTCTGGCCATGCACGAGAACGTCCTGAAGTGTCCGACTCCTGGCTGCACAGGCCAAGGCCACGTCAACAGCAACCGCAACACACACCGCAGGTTAACCCCCCCACACACACACACACATTTCTCTTATTATCTTTGTGTGGACATCTTAGGGGCGGCTGTGGCTCAGGAGGTAGAGCGGGTTGGCTGTTAATCGGAAGGTTGGCAGTTCAATCCCTGGCTCCCCCTGGTTGCGTGTCAAAGTGTCCCTGGGCAAGATATTGAACCCCGAATTGGCGGCTATTCCGCCAGTGTATGAGTGAGTGTGAATGTTAGTTTCCGTTTGAGCACTTAGGCTCAGTGTATGAATGTGTGTGACTGGTGAATGCAGATGTAGTGTAAAAGCGCTTTGAGTGGTCGAAAAGACTAGAAAGGCGCTATACAAGTACGGAGCATTTACATCTTCCCTAGCCTCCTTAATCCAACCTTTAACCATTACAACTATGTGCCTAACCAGAACCCTAAAACCCAGTCTTAACACTCAAACACCCCATTAAACTTGTGCGGTCCAGCATTTTGGTTCCCACAAATACAGTGAATCTCTGTTTGTGGACCCCACGAACATAGTAAAACAAACAAACACAAACACACAACACCTGTGTGTGAACATCTGGAAGATGTTTCTGTCTTGTATTTTGAGTAAATGTGAGGATTTTTGTCATAGTTGTGATTTCATTACGTCACAGACATCGATCGTCTGTAGTTTAGCAGCCTTTCAGTTTTTAAAAGTTTTCTGAATGTAGTTTTGGAGCCTTTGGAGTCACATTTTGGAATAATTAGCTAACAAATGATGAAAATACAGATGGTTGATTTGCACAAACATGAAGTGGAACCAATTTCCTCTAATAGTTCTAACACATTCTTAAGCTGTCTTTATAGTAGTCCAACCATTTATTTTAGTTTTGATTTTATTACTATATGCCAACATCTGTATATGTGTCCCTGTCAGTCTGTCCGGCTGCCCCATCGCAGCAGCAGCTAAGCTGAACAAGACCCAGGACAAGCAGGTTCTTTTACAGGCTTCACCCAGCGAAGCCTCTTCCAACTCTGACCGAGTGCTCAGGTGAGTTAGGTGCATGCACATCCCATGTCCATGTCACTGCAGGGACGATGCATAACTAATGTCTTCCTGTCCAGGCCCATGTGTTTTGTCAAACAGCTGGAGATCCCTCAGTATGGCAGCTTCCGCCCCAACACGGTGACCACCACACCTCGGGCCAACCTGGCCAAGGAGCTGGAGAAGTACTCCAAGGTGTCTTTTGACTATGCAAGCTTTGACGTCCAGGTGTTTGGAAAACGTATGCTCATTCCAAAGACCCCCAGCAGCACTGAAACATCACCCAAAGCCTTCAAACGTAAGACCCACACCTCACCTGCATCATCCACACAACCTAGACCTTCTTCTTCTTCTGTGGTTTTGACGTGACATTAAGGGTAAACCAGCTGTAGGTCAACTTTTGCACAGGAGTTTTTAGCTATTAGCATAAACCCTGTAAAGCTGTTGCTCTCTGTGATGTTCGTTACCTGTGGGGGTTATGTTGTAAAGGTAGGTGATTTGATGTAATTTTCTGACATCTGTGGAATAAACAACGCTGTACCTTAAATATATTTTACAATGTCAACAGTAGGTTTAATGATCTTTTCTAACCTTCGCATGCGCTCATGATGTAATGAGAGAGCATGATTTGGTGTTGTGTGACTAACAGCAACAGCTATGTCAGCCACATGTAGCTGCAACGTAGCACACACGTAGTCTGCTCTCCTGGTCTTCAGCCAGTAAGTTCTGTATGCGTCATTTCCACACAGCTAAATCATTCCCCAAGGCCTCCTCTCCCAGTCACAGTGTGTCAGGAGGCTTTTCCAAGAGCGCCTCGTCCTCCAGTGGTTATGACTACAGCCAAGATGCAGAGGCAGCCCACATGGCAGCAACAGCCATCCTCAACCTGTCCACCCGCTGCTGGGAGAGACCAGAGACCCTCAGCAACAAGCCCCGGGACCCCTGCACCGAGGTACTCTCACTCAGAGTGTTCTTGAGACCAGACAATTTACAGCCCCCTCACATTCTCTAACGTTCTCTGTGTATCTGAACCCTGCAGGAGTCTGACATCGAAGTGGATGAGAACGGCACCTTGGACCTCAGCATGAAGAAGACTAAGAGGGAGGGCATGCAGCCTCCAGAGCCTTCATCCTCCTCGTCTTCATCCTCTCAACACATCGGGGCCCCCTTGTCTCAGGACCACACTCAGCCAGAGTGGGAGGGCCCGCTGGACTTCACCAAACCAAGTGGAGTCAAAGAGGAAGACCACGAAGAGGTACTGAACACTGAAACCACGTGACTGTGAGAGACGTGAATGACAATGCGTCAAGGCGATCATACTTGTTTTTACCTTTGTCAGGTGGAGTACACGGCTCCCTCGTACACCTCCTCTGACGGTGAGGAAGAGGACCAGGAGAACCTGGAGGACAGGAAGTACCCCGGTGAGGTCACCACATCCAGCTTCAAGGTCAAGTTTCAGCCCAAAGACAGCAAAAAAGAGGTTCTTGTGTAAGTTGGAGCTTTTTTGTTACCTCCATTCAAAGCAGCGTTCCACTTTTCCTTTAGCTTGTGTTTCTGAGAGAGATATAAAAGCATCAGTGAAGGGATCCAGACTGGCAGATCTGGTCCAAGGATCCGAAGTAGATCTAAGTTGTACTTCTGACTGGAAACTAACCTTCAAACGTCCAGCTCTGCAGCAGTGCAATGAACAGTAGTTGTCAGCTGAGAACGTAGCATTTCAACGATGCTGAAAGCCAGAATGACCCAATGTGTACTGTAGTGTCTCAGAGGCCTGATCTGTGAGTGTGTGTCCTAGATGTCCCACCCCCGGCTGTGACGGCAGCGGACACATCACTGGCAACTACGCATCACATCGAAGGTAAGACCTGCACCCTGACTAGGAAAAGTATGTTAACTGTGCATCTGTGGTCTGTTTGTCAAGGTTGATTTGATTTCAACCTCAAAACACAGATTCTTGTCTTGATTTTGTAAATTTGGTTTGATGATTTGTTTGTGGAAAACATAGACAACATAAAGTTCTACCAAATCCTACTTCCTGGAAAGACTCAACAAATCTGATCCCAGCCTGTGGAAATGTACATAAGCATGACACAGAGCTGGAATTAGGCCAGTACAGATTCCTGTCCCGCTACTAGCCATTCAGTACTGCCACTTTCTAAAGAAGGTACGGTACTTCTACAGGTGTAGTCACTGTAAGTCTGTTTTATGCTCAAACAAGCCACAAGGAGGCAAAGTGTGCAGCTGTGTTGAGTACAATATGTTGGAAGTTGGAAAGCCGGTGGATAAGAGCATATTCTATAAGAGCCTGTCAAAGCCTCAGCCCATACCTGTGCACAGGCTGGCTGGATCATTTCTGCACACTGAATCAATCAAATGAATAATTCCTGCACATGACTCATGTCCCCAAATGTACATGACTTGTAGGCATGACAGACCTCTGTTTCACCCCATTAAAAAAACACAAGGAGCACATGGAGTGTTTCACCTGATACCACACACACACACACACACACACACACACACACACACACACACACACACACACACACACACACACACACACAGACGCACACACACATGGTTCATTATTGCAGGACTTTAGATAGTGAAATACTTCCTGTCCTCCCTGTGTGTGTGCTGCCCGGTCCTGTCCTGGCTCTGTAGTCCAGTTCAGGCTCTGGCTCCTTCCTTCACTCATACTCAGACATCCTGTACTCAGTCTGGTTTTCTGACGTTCTCTCTCTAACTATCTTCCAGTCTGTCAGGCTGTCCTCTTGCTGATAAATCACTTCGGACCCTCATGGCTGCCCACACAGCTGAACTAAAGTATGTCTGCTTTCTCCTGTCTCTCACCTCCAACATGTTCACTGAGCACTCAGTCTGCAGCTACAGCTCTGTCCCTGCTCTCCTTTTAACACTAATATCAAATAAATCAATCATCATTAAGTCCAATATTAGAAATCAAACCCAAAAACAATAAGCCCTAATTATTTAGTGAGGTTGAAAAGTGGTTTCTGCCTGCAGTCTGCTGTTGATGTAAGGCTGTGGTGTGAAAGAGCGTCTGTGTGTGTCTCAGGTGTCCGACTCCCGGCTGCGATGGATCGGGCCACATCACCGGAAACTACGCTTCACACAGAAGGTAGGAGTTCCTCTCCTGCTTCCTGCTGTCCAGTCTCCCACTCTGTACTCACTTTGATTGTCCCTGTTTGTCTCTGCCAGTCTGTCAGGATGCCCTCGAGCCAAGAAAGGGGGCGTCAAATTAACCCCCACCAAGGATGACAAGGAAGACTCCGAACTGTTGAGGTGAGAAGCAGCTCGTTAGCTTTTACCAACACGGCTGTTTGAGAAGTTACAAGTGCTGAACACTTTATTGTGAATATTCACCAGAGGTAGAATCCTAATGTTAGCGCAACCACAGGACCTTTCGTTTAGTGACATTTATACACAAGAAATGTTGCAACAGTATCAGTTATCCTTTCCCTCATGACGGCAGCTAAAAATCCAGTTTCATATCATCACTAGATCATAAAAGAGTCCACATAGATACATAATTCTAATAGATACACAGATATATAATTGTATAGATATATGGATGTAGATATATTGATACATAGATATACAAATATATATCGATATATGGATATCCATATATCGATACATATATATATATAGGTATATGGATACATAGAAATATAGATATATCGATATGTGGATACATAGATATAGATATATGGATACATAGATATAGATATATCGATATGTGGATACATAGAAATATAGATACATATATATATAGGTATATGGATACATAGAAATATAGATATATCGATATGTGGATACATAGATATATAAATATATGGATACATGGATATATAGATATATAGATAT